CTTTGGTTCGCCAGAAGCGGCTTAGTCATGCTGGCCACATGACCCGGAAGCTGTACTCCCTCGGCCAGTAAAGTGAGATGAGCGCCGCAACTCCAGAGTCGTCGGCGACTGGACCTAATGGTCAGGGGTTCCTTTACCTTTACCTTTATGAAGGAGCAGAAAGTACTATGCATATCACCTTATGATGTTACTATATGTACAACAGCTGCAAGCAACAATATGTATAAACGAGACATACATTCCAAAAGTATACACAAGCATAAGTAGACCTGGACAGAAAAATCTGCTTTCACAGTGCTGCTGCATGCTTTGCTGTGCAATTATTAGCAGGAAATAGCAAGGTGGACATGGACATTTTCGATCTGATGTGGAGTAATGTGTATTGTAGACCTGCAAGCCGAGGAAAGGAGAAAATGCCCCACAACATAATAATAAAAGGTTAAAGTGAACTAAATAGAATGTCAATGGCAAACGCCGTTAACCACCAAGAAAATCAATATTGTAATTTAACTCTTTTAAATTGATTTTATATGCAATCCCTTTGAGCAGGTGTTTATCTGGGCTGAAGGCATTGATTTCTGAGAAGAAAGTCGTTGTTGGCAGCAAGTCGGGTGATTTGCTTCCTGATCTTCCCACTGAAAGTTGCAGATTATTAGGGATGAAATTTTACACATTTGAGCCTGTGTGTGAAAGTAGAAGTGACACTTTCATTGCGACATGAACAATTTAAAAGTCTATAAATGAGCAGAACCTTGCTTTCATAAGGGTTTTCTTTTTACTATCCACGATGATCTGCAAAGAGTGGAGCTTCTGGGAGGGTTTGACATAAACGCTATTGAATACAGAATTAAACCCTGAACTAAATAAAGTCCGCATGGGCATTTTTCATTACTTAATTCTCTCTTGTCAATACACAGCTCACAGCTGATTGGAAGGAACAACCGGAATCTCCATTAGGGTAGCTGCAATTTCCTGTGATTACTTAAGAGAATGTCTAAAGAATCACTATGTAGCCAACTTAGCCATGACACGAAAGGGGCAGACGCCATGATATATGGTAGTATGTTAGACAGCTTTGTGGGCAACACCGAAGATATTCAAATGAGATGGGAAACTGACATAGGGATTTCAATAAGTGAAAAAGTATGGACATCTATATGGCGCAATCCATTTTCAAAGACCATTTTAGCTTGTCTCCAGGAAATTTCCCTTTTAATAATCAAAGGCATCTCCGAAAAAAATGTCTTTGACATGATTTGATCTCCTTTTTTCTTTTTTATTGAAAAAGAGCAGAATATAGATATACTTTATAAGTTTTTATTAAGTTTTACATCTTATATTCAACATATTAATCATATGAAAGAAAATATAATAAAACAACCCCCCCAACCCCACTCCGTAACTTCCCTCAACTTCCCCTTCTGGTTCTTTAACTATTTGCTTCTTCTGCTTAATTTTATCTTATTTTTCGTCTTTTAGCTGAGTGCTCTTATATTCTTATCATTTTTATACCAAATTTCCTTCCAATTCCATCTCACGTTTAATTAATTTGCATATTGTTGTCTCTTACCCTTTACTCTTGTTTTCTTAGTTGTGTTTACTCAAACCCTGCTAGTGAGTCCATTTCTTTGCAATATTTCTGTAAATATGACATAAACGATTCCCAGTCTTTTTTAAAAAGTTGTCTTTGTCTCTGAGTCTTCCTGTGAGTTCCGCCAATTCTGCATATTCCATGAGTTTAACTTGCCATTCTTCTTTGGTTGGTATCATGTCGTCTTTCCATTTTTGAGCTAGTGAAATCCTAGCCGCTGTTGCAGCGTACATGAACAATTTCTTCTGCTCTTTTGGTAGTTCCTGCCAGGACTGTCTTAAGTATATGCAGCACCAGGGTGTAGAGATTCACCCAGTGCCCCCCCCCAGGTTGCCCAGTCCCAGGCAGCAAAAGAGCCTGCTGCAGCACTCCAGCCGACGGACAGGCTCTTCCCCGGACTCAACTCTCAGGCCCTGGACTCTCAGCCTGGAGCCCCTGAGAAGCCGGCGCCCGGGTGCCCCGCACCCCTAGTGCCTATGGGTAAGACGGCCCTGGTTCCTGCCCTATGATACCTAACAAGAAAGCTTCTGGTTGTTTAACAAAAGTTATTTTAAACATCTTCTTCAGTTCACTATCTAATGAGCAGGATATTTTAATGCCATCATCATCACAGAGTTGTCTGTGGAGGGGATATATTAATTGAAAATGTCTAGTAAACCAGATCAGTAGCTGAGTTCCTACTGAGGGTATTTGGCAAGCCAACATGACAGTGATGAGGGATTGAGGATTGGAGTGATCATTCTGTGATATTATGGCAGGGGACAAAGCTGTATTGTAACTTTTGAATAAATGTGTTTTAATAATTATAATAATTATAATGACTACCACCAACATAGGTGCCTCTAACACCATGGTTAGCAACCCCACAGACAAACTGCAAGTCCAGGAGATTTTGTGGGGAAGGTAAAATATAATAATAATAATGATGATGATGATGATGATTTTATTTATACCCGCTCAGATGCCCTGCCCTCCACAATCCACATTAGGCAATAATGTGAACCACTTCATTGTTTTCTTAAAATGAAAAGTGGTATAAAACTACTTATAATAAAAATAAATAAATAAGAAACCACCTCAGAATTGATCTCATTTCAGCCCTTTGATGAAAATGTGAGAGAATTGATCAAGTTGTTCAGCCTTTAGCTAATAGTAGTTCCTCTGGGAGCAAGACCCATTTTGCTCAATGGGACTTACATTTAGGACTGCTCTTCTTTTTTAAAAAACAGAAATGCATTAAAAGAACAAAAACAAACCCCAAACCCTTCTTAATGTTACCAAAATTTCACTTCTAATTTAACTTAAATATAATACTTGCTTCAAGGGAGGTGACAAAATACCAGACCTCTAAATTGCAATAAGCTGAAAACTGCTACATGGAGAATGATCACCTTATATTGAGCAAATATTTACTACAGTGGTACCTCAGGTTACATACGCTTCACGTTACAGACTCCGCTAACCCAGAAATATTACCTTGGGTTAAGAACTTTGCTTCAGGATGAGAACAGAAATCGTGCTCCGGCGGCGCGGCGCCATTAGCTAAAGTGGTGCTTCAGGTTAAGAACAGTTTCGGGTTAAGTACGGACCTCTGGAACGAATTAAGTACTTAACCCAAGGTACCACTGTACTGTGTAAATTGCGTGGAAACTATAGAGTAATAACAGACCAACATTAAAGGTTTGTGAAATCATCACTTTTTAAAGACTGGCTTCACTTTTATTAAGCCTATAACACAATAAATATGAAATCTTTCAAACAAAGACATCATAATGAAAGAAGCCAGTGCTATCTTTTTTCTTAATCTGAAACTACAGGTTTAATTCTCAGTGACTGTAGACAGCCTTCAGGGAGCACTGTTCTTAAAACAATTAAAAGATACAATATTTTTAATAAAATGCTAGATAATACTCTCAGTAGTATTTTGGATACATTCTGTAAGAGAGTGGTGATGGCAGAGTCTAATTGGTTTTTAATTGCTATAATGCATTTAGCTAATTACTGTCACATCTTTTTATTTAAGAACGGGAATCTTCCCAGATTGTTATAACTATGTCTCCAGCTCTGCTAAATTCAAATCCTGTGGGTCTATGCCCCCCTTTCTCACTGTCTCTAAATATAGAGTAGGATGTAAGCAAGATTGTCAAGTTGTCGTTAAAGCGTATTTATTGTACAAGAGCTCGCTAAGCTGTTCCTCCACCCCACATGTTCTGTGAGCAGCTCTCAATACAAGAACTTCCTCAGTCTGATTTACAACATTTGCTGTGGCAACTTATTGAAATTATTCTGGAATGATAAAGCAAAGGCAGTTAGCCGTTCGTTCATTTTATTTGTATACACAAAAATCATGCTCAAAGTGTGCTACATCCCCTTCACACACTCTGTTTATGATTGGGCTGTGGCTCAGAATTTCAGAACCCGCCATTGAGGCTGGGTGTTAAATACAGTGGAGATCCAGCACAATCCTAGAAATTGACAGATACTCGTGAATCTTGCATTATTTCACCACTTGGAATGCTCATAAGGCCATTCTATATTACAGATGCGCAGCAAAAGCCCGTGCATGTTTCCTCAGAAGTAAGCAACTTTCAGGAATTTATATTCTTTCCACATGGAACACACGTTTCAACAGACTGTCTCGCTAGAGTGGTGCATGCTCTAGTTATCTCTGGCTTGGACTTCTGCAACATGCTCTACATGGGGCTACCTTTGAAGGTGACCCGGAAACTACAACTAATCCAGAATGCGACAGCTAGACTGGTGACTGGGAGTGGCTGCTGAGGCCATATAACACTGGTCCTGAAAGACCTACATTGGCTCCCAGTACATTTCCGAGCACAATTCAAAGTGTTGGTGCTGACCTTTAAAGCCCTAAATGGCCTTGACCCAGTGTACCTGAAGGAACGTCTCCACCCTCATTGTCCAGCCAGGACACTGAGGTCCAGTGCCGAGGGCCTTCTGGCAGTTCCATCACTGAGAGAAGTGAAATTACAAGGAAGCAAGCAGAGGGCCTTCTCGGTGGTGGCGCCCGCCCTGTGAAACACCCTCCCATCAGATGTCAAGGAAATAAACAACTATCTGACTGAAGGCAGCCATGTTTAGGGAAGTTTTTAATGTTTGATGTTTTGTGTTTTTAATATACTGTTGGAAGTCACCCAGAGTGGCGTCGTCGTCTTCTTCTTCTTCTTCTTCTTCTTCTTCTTCTTCTTCTTCTTCTCCTCCTCCTCCTCCTCCTCCTCCTCCTCCTCCTCTTCCTCCTTCCCCTCCTCCTCCTCATATATTACAACTCTGGGAATTCTTCAGGGGAAATCATTTTATAAAACCAAATGTGTGAATAGTGCGGATAGGAATTACTCATATAACTATGGGCCAGGATTGGGGCCTCTTGGGGGAGATGACAGGTTTAGGATCCAGTAGCTCTGGTGGCAGAGCATGAGACTCTTAATCTCAGCAGTATGGGTTCAAGGCCCAAGTTGGGCAAAAGATTGGCAGGATGTTGAGCTAGGTGACCCTTGTGGCTCGTCCCAACTCTACAATTCTATGAAAGGCTCTCTTTACCCCACCTCCACAGCACTCATGGAATACCCCATATTGAGGCCTAATACTAGGCTGCCCCAAGGAGAAATACCAATGGCAGTTGATCCATGCCCGTGCAGCTTTCTATGAGCATAGTGGAAGACAAGTCCCCTCCTGTGGATCGCCTCTCAAGCCAGAAAATTTGGGGGGTAAGCTTCCTTTGCCCAATACATATTTGAACAAAAATAGAGCCCCTTTGATGCCCAGTCCTTACGATTACATAGAAATAGTTCCAATGAAATCTATGCCCCAAGACAGGTTGTTTTTTTCTGCTGGAATCTGCTGGAACTCAGTTCTAGCACCTCTCAGGTAGGCTCCATTGGCATTCCAAGAGATTGAGGGAGGTGTTCGTGGTGAGTTCTGGCACCTCTTTTTCTATAAAAACAACATTGCCCATAACTATTTTGGGTCTTCCATATAGTTGACTTGCCAACTTCTATATTATATACCGCTGCAAATGCTCTCTCGGGTAAGCTTTATAAAATGCAAAGTAACGGCAAAATAAAATAAAATAAATGCATTGCATCAGTGGATTTGAAAACAGGAATTTGGACACGGTTTGTGTGACAGGGATAAGTACCCTAGGAGTGGAGCTATTCTGCCATTAATGGATATTAGGTCTCTGTGGTAATTTTGCAGTGCTGTTTTTTTGCTTTGTTTCTTCTGATTAGTCTAACAAGTTGGTGGGTTTTGTTGTTGTTTTGTTTCTGTCTGTGTCTTTGTGAGGAATTAATTAACTTGTCAGCCATGGTCTGAAGAATCCTGGGTTAGGATTAAATCCTTTTCTAAGATCAGTAAGGTTGCTTCGTACATGACGATAATTAGTTTCCTTTTTTTGTGGTTCATTTGAAATCCCTAAGCATCAGAGCAATCAAACCTATAAACCATGGATAATAATAGAGAATGGTGACAGACATCTCACTTTGCAAAAAAATAAAAAATCTTCTGTTTTATTTTAAGCTTTTTGTAGTTGAGTGATTCCTGTAGTAAGCTTCATATGCCCACCCCAACAATACTTATTGATATCTTAATAACTATGAGTGCTGATAGTATATTAGATACAGATGGGGAGTGTATATGGAAGTTGTAAAACAATTTATGTTTGAATTTCTGCTCCTGCATGGGTGTTGGTCGGTGATAGGTTTTCACTGGTCATTACACCAGATTTGGACCAGATTTTACACCAGATCTGAAGTATCAGATCTGCCCCATGTTGGGCATAAGAGTGGGAAACCTCCAGGCTGTGAACAACAACAGGACTCATTCCAAAATCAAATTAAATGATTAGGAAAATTCATTCTATTTGGCAGTGCACATTTGTTTCTGCTCTAGGGAAAATTATAGAATTTGCAAAACTCTAAAATATAAAACTTTTAATTTAAGCATTGGTTTAAAAGTACAGGTGGTTTTCTTTCTTGATAAGCAGATATTTAAAGCACACACATAATAGATCTACAATATATAGTCTACAGCTGAAAATTAATTTCACCAGGTGTAGCACGTGAAATGAGTGTCTGTGCAAAACACAGTATTTTTCGTACACATATGCATTGGATACAACTCTTCAATTCTGATGTACATACTTGGAGATTTTACTGCAGGCCCTCCCCCAGGTCCCCAGAAGGAGTAAGAATTTAAAGAAAATGTTCAATTTCACCCAAAGGCAATCTTGAGACAAAATGGGGACAGTGAGTTACCAGAGGCAAGTACCAGAAAATATGGATTGGTGCTGTTGTATCTGGTGTCTTCCAAAGCAACTGAACTTAAAAATGGAAAACATAATGCTGGTGGTCAACAAAAGAGGTTTAAAGACTCTCTCAAGGCAAATGTAATATAAACACCAACAATTGGGAAACACTGGCCTGCGAGCGCTCCCAATTGGAGAGCAGCCTTTACCAAAGGTATCGTGGACTTTGAAGATGCTCAAACTCAGGACAAAAAGGAGAAATGTGCTAAGAGGAAGGCACATTTGGCAAACCTTCACCATGATCAGCTCCTGTCCGGAAACCTATGTCCCCGCTGTGGAAGGACGTGTGGATCCAGAATTGGCCACCACAGTCACTTACGGATTCACTGTTAAGACTGTGTTCATGGAAGACAATCTTACTCGGCTATGAGTAATCGCCAAAGAAGAAGAATTGGGATCACTGGAGCACATCTCAGAGATCTAGGGTAGTCCAGTGGATAACATATTAAATTTAGATTGGAGCTCTCTTCATGTACTACTTTTGGGGGAGAGACACTCGTGCATAGAATAGAGAGTAGGTCTGCACCTCTGGTGTTACAAGTTTCAGCTAGCCTTGCCTCTGATATCTGCATGTTGAGGGAAGGTGTAGAAAGGAGAAGGACTATGTGTGAACAGCTGGTCTCACATAGATTTTCCACATGATTGTAGAGGGGATCCTGGTTTTGTGGACAGCCTACAGGTGAGCAGCTCACCTGCAGACGTTTCATTCCAGACACCTGCACTCAGCATGTAAGATATTGACTGTAGGGATGGACAAATCTCTACACACACACACACCCGGCCACATTCTTCATGCAAGTTCCCACCACAATCAATCAATCACATTTTCATATGCAGTCACAGATCCATTGACAGCAAAATGAAATCCCCAAATCATAGTTTCTAGGAAAAGCTGTGTTTAAAAATATTGTACATAAATAATGTATTTAATTTAATATGTAAATTTGTCACCTGCACCCTGAGGTCCCAAGGGTGTGGGTTAGAACAATTTAAACAATTTACAGTCACAAAAAACTGTCATTTTTTTCTGTTGCCGACTCCACTGGCGGAGGAAGAGGAGTGCAGGGGGAGCACACCGCCCCTGGCAGCGCAATCTCAGTGGGGTGCCATCGTGGCTTCACCCCAGCCAGCGCTGGGTGCCACGCCCCTGCAGGTGATGTGCCACGCCCCCAGGACATGCGCCACACCCCCAGGATGCCCGTCAGCCCCGCCCCACCTGCTCTTCGCCAGCCCCCCCCCCGGTGCCAGAGCATGAAGCTCCGCCACTGGCTGACTCTTCTTCTCTTTGCCTAAAAACAGCAAATACAAGCAAGTATATATAAGAAGCAAGAAGAGGAAAACAACCCAAACTACAACTAAACTGACAGAAATTTGTTACAGATCTTTGCAGCAAAGAGGTGAGAAAGAAATCCAGCAGCTGCTTATTTTATTGTTTTGTTTGTATCAGCCAATAAGTGAGAAAACGTAAGTCCTTCTTGGGTATTTTAGTTAGACAGGCACTAACAACCTATTTTGCTCATCCTTGTAAAAGTCACACACAAAAAGAACATGTATTAGCATTTCTATTACTCCATCCCTACAGGGGAAGAGCAGTTTATTATAAGGAATATCCCCTGAAGAGCAGAAGGAAGGCAATTAAATGTGGCCCTAGGAACAGCCGATACTTGGGGATGGTTTTGCACCATGTGAGTAGCACATGAAGAGAACTTGGGGAAAGCTTAATTTTAAGTCATGGACGAATCGTGTGGCCGTGAGCAAGCTGTTGGTTCCCCATCTAGAAGTGGTAATAGAGACCAATTTTATGGGATTGTTTTTGGGAGGAATCAGATGAGATTGTAAGTTTTGCACATTAAAACTTTCCCAATAGATTGCTGTTAACTTTATTGGAAAAAATAAAAAGTACCCAAAGAGATGTAAAAATAAGACAGCTACCCAATATGCAGTTAAGCTTCCAATGTGTACATACATCATTCCAGCCTTTTCCAGCTGGAAAAAAATAAAAGACTCTTGATGGAATCATTATTTATTTATTTTTTAAAAAAACCTAACAGGGATGAGATGTTAATAATTAGGGCCTTAAATTCAAACCCTTCTACAAAAAAGAACTATTTTTGGCAGCTATCTGTGGAGCTTCTGCTGGCATTTAACTGCCCTAGTGATGGGTAACAAGTTGTAGAAGGAAATGTAACCTAATTAAATTTGGAAGTTTATATATAACCTTTCAAGACATTATTGAATTTAAAGTGGAATTGCTCAAACACAGAACTACTCTGTAATGAAAGGGATGATTAAGCTTGTTCCTCCTCCTCCTCCTCCTCTTATCAACTCTAATTAGGAAAACAAACGAGCCATCTTTAGATTGAATTCCACCCACAGTATGAGCTTTAAACCACCTAGTTCGTGTTTGCATTAGTGAATTTGATTTAAAACCCAAGGCTCTCCTTTATTAATCAAAGGAGTACCACATTTGGGATTTACCCATTTGTCCTTAGGAATGCAAATATCATTTTAAACCAGCCTCCCCCACAAAAAAAACAAACAAACTATCTTTAGGAATGAAAGTAAACTAGTCCCTATTATTTTGAACTTCCCCAGAGTTGAAATGTATACATGCAAGTCCCTTAAGGCAGAGGCCACTCAGTTTTTCTGAATGTAGGGATTGTCCACATTTGAGCATTCTTTAGCTGTGATTCCACCTTCCCCCCATTTGAATCAGGCAGGTGCAATCACACCCACACATATTTGTGATCTCTAGAAATTTAATATTTCATCGTCATCATCATCATTTGAATTTCACAAACAACTTCAATCCTTCTTATTCACTCCAGAAAGTGTTCCCTTTTGTGTTTTGTCTCTGCCTTCTAATCTGTTTATTTGATTAAGAACCAGTAGGTCATGGTAAACAGATAGGGCTGACAGTTCTTTTTATGGGGGAGGGGGGTGATAGTGCTTGTTATCAATTCTGTGTAGCACCTTTAAAGGTAAAGGTAAAGGACCCCTGACAGTTAAGTCCAGTAGTGAACGACTCTGGGGTTGTGGCGCTAATCTCGCTTTACTGGCCGAGGGAGCCGACATTTGTCCATAGACAGTTTTTCTGGGTCATGTGGCCAGCATGACTAAGCCGCTTCTGGCAAAAGCAGAGCAGCGCATGGAAACGCCATTTACCTTCCCGCCAGAGTGGTACCTGTTTATCTACTTGCACTTTGACGTGCTTTCGAACTGCTAGGTTGGCAGGAGCTGGGACCGAGCAACGGGAGCTCACCCTGTCGTGGGGATTCAAACCACTGACTTTCCGATCGGCAAGCCCTAGGCTCAGTGGTTTAGACCACAGCGCCACCCACGTCACCTTTAGGACTGAACAATTCAAGCTCCAGTCATGTCTATGGGTTCCATTCCCATGAAATCTAGTGGAGCTTACTTCTGAGTAATTTATGCTTATTGTGAAGTTAACCCACACTAGAAATTGTGGCAGCAGGGACACCTTCTAAAGCAAGGTTAGGCACACTTCAGTTTTGTTAAGCACAAAGCACTTGTACAACTGCAGCACTTTAATGTTCACACATATGCAAGGGAAGAGGATGAGAAGAAAACCAGAACAACTTGACCCTGCCTGTGTGACCTCCTTGGTCCCATCCATGTGGCCTTATTGACCCCGCCTACATGACATCCTTGGCCACAGGTCTGGGGGCTACCAGTTGCCACTGCTTTAAACTGAGCAAATGGGTAGTTCATTGTAAGTAAATGTAAGTTCACTGCAGTTCATTGTAAGTAAATGGAAAGTGCTACGCAATGGAACAATAAACCCCATTGCCAACACATTCACCCAGATGACCTCGCCAATAATTTTTTCCAATTATCTTGAAAATATTCTCACCCACTTCATTAGTAAATCACAATCTTAGGTCCACCTGTTTAGAGATTCATTTCGAATACATTCCTAGTGCTGAAAGTGATCAGGTTGCTTGCCTGTTGTAATTCATTTATTTATTTGACTTAAAAAGGTAAATGAGGTAAAAAGTTGCAGACAACTCTGGGGTTGCAGAGTTCATCTCGCTTTACAAGCCAAGGGAGATGGCATTTGTCCGCTCCATAGACACTTCTTCCAGGTCATGTGGCCAGCATGACTAAGCCGCTTCTGGTGCAACAGAACACCGAAACCAGAGCAGCGCATGGAAACACCGTTTACCTTCCCGCCGGAGTGATACCTATTTATCTACTTGCACTTTTTGGCGTGTTTTCAAACTGCTAGGTTGGCAGGAACTGGGACCAAGCAACAGGAGTTCACCGCATCACGGGGATTTGAACCGCTGACCTTCTGATTGGCAAGCCCAATGGTCTAAACCATTGAGCCACCCACATCCCTGGTGGTTTGACTTAAATACCCCCTTCATCATAAGCTCTCATCATAAGCTTCACAAGTTACGCAAAAAACACAAAGAGAAATTTATGGGCAGGACTTGTCAGGTTTTGGCACTGGCTTATTTAAGTACCTGAGGGCTTGTTCATGTGACCTCCTTTGATATTCTTTTGGGACACATCTGCAGAAATGGGATGCCTCATGCAAAAATGGCAGGAGACCTACTGGAGAAACAGACACTGAGGCAACGGGCTTGTGAATTTCACTCCTTTAACCATCCTAAATAGTTTGCATGCAGAAAGGTACTTGACAGTTATTGGAATTAGCTACAACAGATGTCACATTAACATTTGACTGTCGGGCTGATGGATGAGTAGCTGCCGTTTGGCACGTTCAGGAAGCTTATATTAGGCTTCCTAACACACATTGCTGTCATTCCACCAGGCTTCTAGGTCTGAATAAAAGGAATGGATGATTAGAATAATAGAAGTGAAGGGGAGACATTATAACCACAGGGGTCCAACTCCATCTTTCATGTTTTATTGAGCTGCTTACTAACTATGGACGTTAGCAGCCATGGTCATGCAAAATGCAAGAAAGAATTCACCAGGCAACACAGGCAGTCAAATGCAACTTACTTACATCACCTTGCTAGGTTAGAGCCTTGTTTACGAGAGCACCATATTTCCGCAACCAACATGCATCAAGCATCCAATATGGCACCAAATCTCCCCTGCCTTCTGAAGGATTTCACATGTGCATTTAAGATTACCACACCCATTGCTGAGACCTGCTTTACATAAACGTGGAAGACTGCCTGCCCCCACCGTTCTGCTTTTAACTGCAAGTTACGAAACAAATTTAAGAGTCTTTTCTTCTTGAATATTGATCAATTTAAATATTTTTGTTTTGGATTTTTTGGATGCTGCCTATTTTGGACTGGAATGTTATGAATAGGCAACAAACCACCATTCATGTACTAGCCTGAGCTATGTCGTTTTGAACATCAAAGCTAGGTAATTTGTTTCAGTGCCAGCACAGATGGCTTGTCTGCCGTGCGTGCTTAGCTTAAAATGGGAACAGATTCCAGATTCCGGCTTGGTTTCAGTTCCATTTATGACTCCAAAGTAAGAAATGCTTTGTTTTCTTTTGTGAACATGATTGATTAGAGCTGTGTGAAAGGCAGCATTATTTTTATTTAGCATGTGATTTTTTTCCCCCCAGGTGGTGTTAGATGTTACATATGCTTCTAAATTCTCGAAGCCTCAATCAAAACAGAGCATATAAGGAGCAGCAAGGGCGGGGAATATAGAAGCTTTTCAAAAATATTCATGTCCTCCTAATTAGCTGGTACAGGGATCAGAGGGTCATAATTTACCTCCTAAATAAGTGATTGGTAGAATTTTATTTCTCTTTGTGTAGAGTGCTAGTGTATCCACAAGTACACACACACACAAATACAGCCTACCTTGTAGAAGCTTCAGAAAACACTGTAACAGCCAAGCTACATTAAAGTTATATTAAATCACATTTACAGCATAATCTATTCTGACTTTAAAGTGAATGAATGTAGCATTATATCACTCCCTGTGCTAAACGTGGCAAATATGCTATTGTGTGAGGAGAACAAGTGCTTTCAACTATCCATCCATCTAATGATAACCTGTTCAGCATTACCAAACTGTAGCCTGGGCTGAGCTCTGAATAGTGAGGAGGATGTTCTTTATATATCTGTAGAATCATAGAATTGGAAGGGACCCTGAGGATCATCAAGTCCAACCCCCGGTGCAATGCAGGAATAGGCCGCTGTCCCATACGGGGATTGAAGCTGCAACCTTGGGATTATCAGCAACACACTCTAGCCAACTGAGCTATTGTAGTAAACAAAAGCTTGCATTTCATATAACATCAGGTACAGTGGTACCTCGGGTTACATATGCTTCAGGTTTGCTTCGGGTTACAGACTCTGCTAACCCAGAAATAGTACCTCAGGTTAAGAACTTTGCTTCAGGATGAGAACAGAAATCGTGCTCCAGCGGCGTGGCAGCAGCAGGAGGCCCCATTAGCTAAAGTGGTGCTTCAGGTTAAGAACAGTTTCAGTTAAGAACGGACCTCCGGAACAAATTAAGTACTTAACCCGAGGTACCACTGTAGTTATATCCATCAGGGCCAGTTACAGTGGGCCTCTTGTCCCATCACTGTTTGTCGGTGATGGAACCTGGTTGGCAGTGCTGGCTTCTAAAGCATACAGCAGGAAGGCACTCCAAATCATAGAACCATAGAATGCATTGGAAGGGACCACGAGGGTGTAACAAACGACATGGTTTGTATGGGCCTAAAGATGGCTGAAGAACACCACAAAATGGATGCGATGTCTTTGAACTGTCCGTGACCTGTCCGTGACCTGTGTTGTATAAGCGCTAATGGAATGTGGAAAACATCATGATGTTGTGGCAAAAACAGTGTGTGCTAGGTATGGTACAGAACAGCACATACAAGGAGGCATGGAGATGGCAGTACCTTTGAGATAAGATAAGAGTTATGAGATGATGCCAAGGACAAGGATGTGAGATGCCAAAAACAAGGAGTAAGGAGTTGTGTAATGCCAAGAATCAGATGAAGAACAAGGAGTATATATGGCAAAGCACTCTAGCTTAAGTTGTGGGCCGGACATTGACAGTGCTGTCGGTGGCTCTTACTGAAACTGATCACTTCAGTGAAGAGTGAAGAATGGTGAGTATGACTGATATATGAACGGAATGAGTGGAATGAATGGTTGACTGCATATTCTTTGTTTTGACATGTGAATTACTTGTTAATCAATAAAGCAATATTATAGAAAACATTCAATACAGTCATACCTCATGTTACGTTTGCTTCAGGTTGCGCATTTTCAGCTTGCATCCCGTGGCGACCCAGAAGTACCAGAAAGGGTTACTTCTGGGTTTCACCGCTTGCACATGCGCAAATGATGTCACGCGCATGCACAGAAGCAGCGAATTGCAACCCGCGGAGGTGCAGGTGGCATTCTTTTCAGGTTGCGAATGGGCCTCCGGAACGGATCCTGTTTGCAACCAGAGGTAACACTGTATTGGTTGTCTCATGTTTACTTGTGCCTTTCTAAAGTATACTCGGTCTCATCCATGTTAAACACCTAAACAGGTTAAAAGAACCTAATTGGTCATTACAAGGGTCTTCCAGTTCAACCCCCTGCAAAGCAGGAATCGTTTGCCCAATGTGGGGCTCAAACCCATGACCCTGAGATTAGGAGTCTTATGCTCTACCAACTGAGCTATCCCAGCAGAACTGGGCTCACAAAGATTCTGGCTGGGCCCCACAGCTCCTCCCAGGCAGCAGCAAGGCGACTGAGCTGACTGTGGATGCTGTCAGGACTCAGCCAGGCACACATATTCACCCCACCTGCCCTAAGAGCCAGCAATGGGATTGGGCAGCGAGGGATCCTGCTGGGCTTCTGGGCCCTTCGCCAGTGCCCCACCAAGCCCATTGCTGCTCCCCAGCCCGTTGCCCCCCCCTCTCTACAATGATTTGTCCAATACTAGAGTTTTGAAAAGATCTCCAAAAGAAATCATGAGCAATGTAATATTCTTAACTTATTCTGCCAATAATCTTTCATCCACTCACAATGATTACTGTACTAGGAGCGCAAGTTGCTTGGTCCATTAGTGATCTTTCATTTTTTGGCACATTTTTAATGCTAATCCTTATTTGCATACAAAATACGGAGTTTTAACCCAAATAGATAAAAGATGAGTAGAGTATAATTTGACTCTTTGCATTTCATATCCAGAAACCTAATTGCCAATTCACAGAAGAGCAGATCATCAAATTTTCAATGCTCTGCTCAAAGAAATGGCAAGCAATCTGCTAGGCTGCATTTTTGAATGTTGCCTTTTGCATAAGAACTGACCATTTGCATACAGACGGAAATGGCATAGAGATGTGCAGAGCCTACATTCCAGTATTGGTGCATTCGGGGAGATATTTCAACCCAAACATTTCCAAAGTGAATTGTTTGAATTCAACTTTGGCAGCTGATTCATGCTTGAGTTCCAAAAACTACTATTGGAGATGCATTGGCAAGAACAGAAAACCAGTGTCAAAAATATTCCTTCTGCAATCAGCAAGATGATCTGCTCAGTTCCCTCGAACAGAGTATTCTGTAATGTCAGCAGAATCCAGTTGCCAACCAATGAGGCTTTTCCAAAGGTTTCTTTTTGACCTCTTTCAAACTCAGTCCAGACCTGTGATTGGTCTTGTCAATCTGAAAAATCCTGACTAGGAGATGCGAGGAGTTCAGTGAGCAAAACTACAAAGGATTAATAAATTAGTAGTAGTTCTTTGGATTGACTCACTAACTGGATTTCCTTAGCTGAAGTCCTCTCCCTGGACTCAGCTAAACAGCTGCAAATAAAACGTTTTAAGTGTGTTGTAAAGTGCAATATACAAATCTGACATGAGATGGCGACAGTGAGCTATGGCAAATTCAGTGTATTTTTCAAAACGTTTTTAAGAAAAGCATTTTCACAGTGTTTTTTATTGTGTGTAGATTCCACCCCTGTCTCTCATATTTGTGCATGTGGGGGGATAAAAAGGTAAAATGGTGAGTGTATCATGTCTCCAGGAAAGCAAAAATCTCATTTTTTTCAACTGTACTCCCCCCTGCAAACTATGTATCTTGTGTCCAAAAAATAAACCCCTGCCTTCAGCTATGAATAATTTGATATGTAATAACAATAGCAAATGGTATGTTCAAAGTTCCCAAAGTTAATGGAAAGGAACAGGAAAAATAAACATGCAACCGGTTAACCATACAGTGCATGATAAATTGCTATGCTTTGTACAGTGTGCGTCCCACCGCTCATGAGATAATGCTGAACTACTATGCACCCATTATGAAGTGCAGATCGCATAATAATCTGTGTATCATATTCTCACATCCAAACTTAACTGTTCATACTTTTATATTTTAATATTGTTATTATTTAAATTTATTCTGCACACTTTTTGGGAAACACTTCCCCAGCCCCTGCCCCCCACCCTACAAAAACTTCATAGCCCCTCTGGTTGAGAAATACTATGCTAAAGTAACCAAACCTTACCTCTATGAGCCTGGAGAAGGTACAGCTATCAGAAATCATGCAGCCTTTTGCATCTGTACTATAGCTTGAGCCTGAAGAAGACAACATTATTAAGTTTGCCCCTCCCTTCTCCCCCTGTAAACATATGTCTTCGGAAACAATTCAATTTTACTTAATGATCAAATTTAATTTCAGCAGCCATTTGAGAGAAATTGTATTGAGGCCCATTACATAAATAAAAGCTATCTGGGTGCTATAATTCTGACCAGAGACATGAAAATTATACCTCTCCTTTGATGTGTTGACAGGCAGCACATATGAATTTACCTATTGTAGAACTATCTTTCTAGAGAAATAAATATGGGCATGGTCCAAGTGTTGGCACAGTATACGTGGGCCAGACAGTAAATAACAGATAGCTAAGCCGTCCTGCATTATGTAATCTAGGATTGCTTTGGTCTGATGAACATTTACTCTATTCACTTTAATGTTTATCGGTAGCTAGCCTTTATTCGCAGGACCTTACATGCTGAAAATGGCCATATTAATTTTAAATAGTATCTGAATTAACTCAGTAAAGTTTTTGGCCTTGGGACCAGAGCCTTATACGCTGGAAATTACCCAATTTGTTTTAGCTGATGCTGATGAGTTTACTTCAGTTAAGCTTCTGGCCTCTGTAACCACAAGAAATTAAGGAGAAGGATATATTTTCTTGGTGAGTTCTCCAGCGTAGTTTTTCATATATATTATAAGAAAGAGAGAGGTCCTTTCTGTTAATGATATTAAAATGGTAATGAATTTCTTGAAGCACATTAGGAGTGGGCATGGTGACACCACTCGTTAGGTCTTTGTTTCAGCTATTAAAGTCTTCAGCTTCTGGGTTTCATGTGGCTCCACAGCAGTAATGCTCAGGCAGCCATGACTTGAAGGAGGAAACAAGGCTGGGACTTCATCTGGTTAGCTACTGAGGAGGTGTGTGCTCAGCATCAAAGCCTGAATTGCAGATCCTCCTTTTGTTGTTTAGTCATTTAGTCGTGTCCGACTCTTCGTGACCCCATGGACCAGAGAACGCCAGGCACTCCTGTCTTCCACTGCTTCCTACAGTTTGGTCAGACTCATGTTTGTAGCTTCGAGAACACTGTCCAACCTTCTTGTCCTCTGTCGTCCCCTTCTTCTTGTGCCCTCCATCTTTCCCAACATCAGGGTCTTTTCCTGGGAGTCTTCTCTTCTCATGAGGTGGCCAAAGTACTGGAGCCTCAGCTTCACGATCTGTCCTTCCAGTGAGCACTCAGGGCTGATTTCCTTAAGAATGGATATGTTTGATCTTCTTGCAGTCCATGGGACTCTCAAGTGTCTCCTCCAGCACCATAATTCAAAAGCATCAATTCTTCAGCGATCAGCCTTCTTTATGGTCCAGCTCTCACTTCCATATCTGCAGATCCTCCGTGTCCCTATTTTCCAGGGACGGTCCCGGATTTACAAAAGCTGCCCCAGTTTCTGATTTGATCCCAGAATGTCCCGCTTTTCGTAAGGATGTCCCTATTTTCATCTGGGAAGTGTTAGAGAGTGTGGAGTTATGTGACCCCCCAAGCCAAGGAGATAAATAACTATACAACTTTTAGAAGACATCTGAAGGCAGCCCTGTACAGGGAAGTTTTAAAATGTTTTATTATATTTTTATAGATGTTGTGTTGCCATAATATCTGCCCTATCTCTTGAATGAACCAAAAATACATGAGACAGGGGTGGAAAAGAGAGTCCAAAGTATCTTATTTCTGCACAGAGGTCCAGCGGGATAATTCCACAAAGACTGGACCCTTGCCAAAGAATTCTATACCATTTTTTATATATTGCACACATCCCATGCATTTCAATAAAGTTCCTTCATACATTCTAATGCAGTTCAAATCCCTTATCCAATCAAAACACTCAGTTCCTCTCACCCCACTTCCTTTTAAGGCACTTAACCCTGTGATTGCTCTACTTTTGCTGCAGTTGGGATCATGCGTACTGGCTACCAGTTTAGACAAAGGAGCGTCGTGTGATTGGTCAGGTTTTACCACAGTCTCGAGCATGCTCAGTATGCCAAGACCTTATTTGGTATGATTCTCTGAAATTTATGTAATTTATTACCTCATTTTACCTCAGTTGGAAGCAGCCCAGAGTGGCTGAGGAGACCCAGTCAGATGATTACAGTGTAAATAAAATAATAATAATAATAATAATAATAATAATAATAATAATTAGGACATCCCTATTTTTATCAGAGAAATGTTGGAGGGTATGGAATTGGATATATAAGTCCCCTATAGTAGGCATTGTTGCAGTCTATGAACTGGCCATGACTAATGTTAGAAACCTGGGGCTGTATTCATCTAAGTTTTACTCTGAGTAGACCTATTAATAATAATTGCCCTAAATTAGTCATGCCTATTAATTTAAATACAACTCCTGACCTCCTGGCTCCAGCTTGCAAGCCCTCCAATTCAACTGATCTTAGGGATCCAGAGCTCAATGGTGGTCTCCAGCTATGGCCACTTGGTCCCATCCTGGCTCTGTGTGAAGGTTATCTGAGCAGCAAGATAAGCATCACTAACATCTGTCCAAATTAAAACATTCCTCTGATATGATTTCCAGTTTGTGATCCATCAAAAATAACCCCAAATAGATATGAATAGTTTGAATGGATTCTTTAAAAGGACTGGTATCCACTTAGCATATCACTAAAATGCTCCTTGAACCTGCACAGTAAACAAAAAACAATGCAGTGCTTTAAATTTAATTTTCCTTTTCGTTTTTTAAATCACAATTTTATCCCCACCCCGATTACTCACAGCAAATAAAATCAGTGACCTTCAGATGACAGAATGATTCATCTTCAATATTGTTATGCATAAATAGTAGCAAAGATGACTAAGCTATGAATCTGGAAGCCCCCTTTTCAGTTCTTAGCTCTGTTGTGAACTCTCTTGACATACACAACCCAGCCCTTGTTACTCTGCAATATTTTAGGACTGCTCCTTCATGTGTTCTATCAACAAACTTCTCAGCCAAGGTGAGGTTCCACCATCTTCAAAAACAGCAAAATTTGGGATGAGGCTTCAAGATTCTTAAAAAAAGCAAAGACAGGCTGCTCCTCTGAGGTAAGTGTGATGTTCATCCCAGCTTTAAGATCCTGACAGTGCAGTAAAAAAGGTAAGGTAAAGGACGGCTGGATGGTTAAGTCCAGTCAAAGGCAACTATGGGGTTGTGGTGCTCATCTTGCTTTCAGGCCGAGGGAGCCAGCGTTTGTCCACAGACAGCTTTCCAGGTCATGTGGCCAGCATGACTAAACCGCTTCTGGTGCAACGGAACACCGTGACACAGAGTGCACAGAAACGCTGTTTACCTTCCAGCTGCAGTATTTATCTACTTGCACTGGTGTGCTTTTGAACTGCTAGGTTGGCAGGAGCTGAGACAGAGCAATGGGAGCTCACCCTGTTGCTGGGATTCAAACTGCCAACCTTCTGATCAGCAAGCCCAAGAGGCTCAGTGGTATAGACCACAGCACCACCCACATCCCAATCCTATGCATGTCTACTGAAAGGAAGTCCCATTGAGTTTAATGAGGTTTAATCCCAGGTCAGTGTGTCTGGGATTGCAATCTAATTATGCAATGCTTCTGAATCATTATATTCTGCAGTGCTACAGAATAATTAAAGCAGTGAAATTTAAATTTATGCTTGCAATTGTTTTTATTTATTTGGTTGCATGAAGAAAACATACTACAACAGTGAGACTAATTGGAAGTCATTTTTAACACTTTTTGTTTTTCCCACAAGATTTATAATTATTTGTATTGTTGGGTGTATAAATGATGTTTGTTATACTATTATTGTTTTTTTTCCTTTTTATAAATGTATTTATTTAAAAAAAATAAAGACATTAAATACGGGGTGGGGGGAGAAGAAGAAGTAAACATACTATAGTGATTAAGACCTGACGCTGTGCTCTTCCGTTGGTTAATGTAATGTCCATAACATATTCCTCAGTTTCTGGTACTGTTTTTTTTTTCCCTTGCAGCAGAGATAATGCCAACCTGGGCCACACACTTTGTTGTATAATGAACAGAAAACATGCAAAGTAAGGATTTAAAACTCATAGGCATCTTAAGAGCAGGGAGAGGGCTTCGGGGACAAAAAATATCTCTCCTCTACTATTTTGGATTACAGAAGATTTGCTCTGTGCACAGTGATAAGGAATAGCTGTTAGCAAAATCACGGTATCACATTGCGGCGCTGAAGCTTCTGCAGGGGGATCTAAATGTATGTTTGCAGTTGCTACTCTTGACATCTTCAATTCGAAGAAGGTTTAAAACAGCTCAAGAAAGACAGGCTCCTCCTTGTTACTAAAGCAGAAAGAGGAGAAAAGAGGATTTGTATTTATTAAGGTCTCAAAGCTGTGTGTGATTGAACATGTGCCTGCTTTTCCTGGGGTCCTGGATAGGATTCATGGCTGCAGAAGCATTGTTAGGCTTAAAGTGGTGCTGGGAACGGTGCTAGGCAGGGCCACCTTACATCCCCTGGACTGCCCTGCATTCTCTGCCACCACCAGCTTATTGCGCCTGGCCACCTCCTTGGTGCCAGTCCACAACTCCATCCCTGCTATTGCTTGTATGAGAGAAAGATGCAGCAGCAGCAGCCCCAGCCTCCATTTGAAAATGGAGCTTATAGAATAATAGAATAACAGAACTGTAGAGTTGGAAGGGACCCAAATCTAGTCATCTAGTCCTGACATGAGGTGGGAATCAAAATCAGCTGTCATATTTAAGTGCGTTATTTTTCGCTCTATAGGACGCACCCGACCATAGGACGCACCTAGTTTTAGAGAAAAATTTTTTCTCTCCCTCTCTGCACAGTGCCCCTTCAGTGAAGTGGCAGGAGAAATGGAGCCCCTTCCATTTCTCCTCCCGCTTTGCTGAAGGGGTGCTGCGCAGAAAGGGAAAGCTGCGCAGTGCCTCTCCAGCGAAGTGAAGCCAGGAGAGCAAGAGGGATCGCTCCATAAGATGCACACACGTTTCCCCTTAATTTTTGGAGGGGGAAAAGTGCATCTTATAGAGCGAAAAATACAGTAGCTCTGTTTCTATTAAATGTTTCTCTAGCTGCCCTGCTCCCAGTGCAGCCTATTGCCAGAAATATTGCCTGGGAGACCACAGAATATAAATTCTGTCTTTGGTGAGGGAATATCAGACTACAGCAACTTTGGACTGGGAGTGGGATCTGGGGAGACCAGGTTACCAAAATGGGGAAGGTCCTGGGGTAAATTGCAAATAGGTTTTTGCAAAACTGTAGTAGGATCCGGGTCAAATTCCCCATTGCCACAATCTTTCTGTTCTGTTTTATCACCCCTGCCCCTGGTGGTATCACGAACTATTATTTGCAGTTTGTCTGCCCAATCTGTAAAAAGGGAAGAAAAACACACACAAGGAAGGCTATTTTTAGAAAACTGTAGCAGCCTTTCTTATAAAAGAAGTGTAAAAGTGTATAAGATGTCTCCCATCTAACTAGAAAATTGGTTGGAGAGGGATATGGTAATTTTAAATGATAGCAATTGGAATCTCCAAGGTAACTGGGTGCTAAGGAAACAGGTTGTGAATAATAGAAAATATTTTAAAATTCATGGCTCATTAAATTGGGACTCAGTGAAACTCCTCTCATCTATGTGATAGGAAAACGTAGGGTTCCTTTAAAAGCCACTTAAAGGTGCACCGTTGATAAATGACTTCAGCATACCCACTGACTTCATCATACAACATCCCTGTTCCGTATTTTGAGAACTGAGCATGTATGGTGTCCATAGGGGCAGAAACATTCAATTGCTGACATTTCTAATTGAAATAATTACTACAGCACAAAAATAAAGGTTGAAACAGCAGTGCTTACTGGCGTAATTAAATATGCTAACACCTCCAACCAATAGGTGGTGATATATTTTTCCTTATTTGCTATTCTAGGACGCGGGTGGCGCTGTGGTCTAAACCACTGAGCCTAGGGCTTGCCGATCAAAAGGTTGGTGGTTAGCTCCCGTTGCTCAGTCCCTGCTCCTGCCAACCTAGCAATTCAAAAACATATCAAAGTGCAAGTATATAAATAGGTACCGCTCTGGCGGGAAGGTAAACGGTGTTTCCGTGCACTGCTCTGGTTCGCCAGAAGCGGCTTAGTCATGCTGGCCACATGACCTGGAAGCTGTACACCGGCTCCCTTGGCCAATAAAGCGAGATGAGTGCCCAACCCCAGAGTCGTCTGCGACTGGACCTAATGGTCAGGGGTCCTTTACCTTTAACTATGTGAGCCCAGAAACATTCTCGTGTGCTGCAAACTCTGCTCTTAAAAAACACACAAAAAAACCCCCCACACACTTCTCAGGTTTTGCTTCTGTCTGGGAATCTATGATTCCGATCGATGGCTTCAAGTACATAGGTCAAATACACAAGGTGAAAATTTATTTCCCTTCTGTGCTTCTCCATTTATTATCTTGTTTATGGGAGAAGACCTGGTACACTAATTATCCTACTAATTACCATGCTAATAAAAAAAACTACACAGGAACCTGATGACCTAAAAGTTTGCCGTCTTGCTCCAGTGATTAAACTACCCTGTGCTGCTAAACACCATATTTTATGATCTAGGTCACTATTTATCACCTATCCTCACTCAGCAGATTCAAACGCTTCCTCCAGGAAGCCTGCAACTTAATAACAATTATGATTTATGAATCATATTTCTGCATTAGTCTGTTTTCTTTCCTGCACCTGACTGACCGTATACGATCACGTATAATTCTCTGTCAGGTTTCAAAATGGAAAGGAGTCATAACTTTTTACCAGTGCTTTAAGAGAGCGATTTGTCTTGCAGTGGGACTCTGAGTCTGAAAACTCTTAACGACTGTGGTATTGCTGTTCTGGTCTCAATAAATGGATTAGATAATTACACGGGTTTAAAACTCCATTGGAGGGTATAAGGAGAGGCAAACCAGTGCTGGAGAGAGCTGAGCACCTACAGAAGTAGTACCTCGGGTTAAGAACTTTGCTTCAGGATGAGAACAGAAATCGCGTGGTGACGGCGTGGCGGCAGTGGGAGGCCCCATTAGCTAAAGTGGTACCTCAGGTTAAGAACAGTTTCAGGTTAAGAACAGACCTCCAGAACAAATTAAGTTCTTAACCCGAGGTACCTACTGTACACAGAACAGCTTCCTCCAGTGAAATGTGTGGAGCTCTTAGAGGAGGTAAAGGTACCTTTGTATGCATCAGTCACTGAGCTGAAAAAAATAGCCACCCACAATCGGAGTCCTATTCTGACACCTACTTAGAATAATAGATTCATAGAATTGTAGAGTCGGAATGGGTCCCCAAGGATCATCTAGTCAGACCCCCTGAAATGCAGGAATATCAGCTGGAGCATCCATGGCAGATAGCCATCCAACTTCTGCTTAAAACCCTCCAAGGAAGGAGTGTCCACCACCTCCAGAGGGAGACCATTCCACTGTCCAAAAGCTCTCACTGTCAGAAAGTTCTTCCTGATGTTTCGTCAGAATCTCCTTTTTCGTAACTTGAATCTATCGGTTTGGGTCTTAACCTCCGGAGCAGGAGAAAGCAAGCTTGAGTCGTCTTCCATGTGACAGCCCTTTAGTTCTATAAGGAAGCAGGGAATAAATGTTTTCAGGAGTTTCTTATCTTTGTTCCTTTCTGAAGAGCACTGCGCACCTACAGTTCTGGGTCACTAGGCTCGCCCTACTTTCAGTTCCTGGTTCAAGAGCCCCATTGGTTCCTTGAAAGGGGGTAGAAACAAGATAAAGATAGTCTTTTCTAAAAATAGCACTGTTTAGTTACATTTATAGTCTGTCTTAGCCGTAGGGCTCACCGTGGATGACATTTACTCATTATTCTTTGAAGAAAAATGTCTCAGCTGCAGTATGTGCATCAGGTCCTCTCTCATTGCCCCTGGATTCATCCAGACTTCTATCTTTTGATCCATTAATCTCTGCTCCATAACAAGGTCCGTGTAAGTGTTTGATGTAAAAGATTATTAATGCTAACTGACATGTGACCCCAGCCCTTATTGCCTTTCTCTCCAGTGTAGCCATGCCAATATTTATTCTGTTTTTTATTGCATTGTTTCACTCCTAACTTGCAAGAGACTTTTATTTCCTACTTTAATCTTGAAACTTATCTATACCATTTTCTAAAGTCTCCACGTCTCCGAAATTGCATTCTTCGCCTTTCTAATAGCATTCTCTTTTCTGCTCAGCATCCAGGGCTAGAAAGGAAACTTAGTTGAGAAATGCAGGCTCACTTGTTTCATGCCAACTTTTATCAATGATTCATTTCTCTCTGTGTTTTCAGTAAATGAAGGCCTATAGCGTGGGAAATAAACTCTATTTCTCGAAGGAAAATGAAGCTGCAATCTCCAACCTGGAAGTAAAACCCATTGACCTCAGGGCACAGGAGTGTGTTGTGAATAGCTAAAACCTGAAACAGGATGATGTAAAACACGTACACATTTTATTTATTTAATAAATTTGCATACCACCCTTAATCCGTAGATCTCAGGGCAGTTCACAACATAAAATTACACTATCAAAAAGAGAAAGTACATAATAAAAATAAGAATGAAAACAAAACCAGTATTTTCCACCCTCCCACAACACATTTAAAATGATGTCAGACCCTCTAGGTGTCCCTATTTCCCAGGGACAGTCCTGGATCTACAGAAGCCATCCCAGTTTCTGATTTGATCCCGGGATGTCCTGCTTTTCCTCAGAACATTCCTATTTTCATCTAGAGAGAGAAAAAGGCACTGATTAGACATATAAGTTACTCATTTGTTTGCATATTTTAATTACTAGATTTAACATCCTCTGGGTAGTCTACAAAACTCAATAAAACATTTGCATGCAATGCCATCAATAAAGCAAATCTCGGTCAGAATGACAAATGCATAACTGCATATGGAAAGACATAATCACTCAGTGTAAAACAGTATCAAGTACATAAAACAAACAAACAAACATAGAGCAGATTAAATTAAAAAGTTGAAATTAAAATGCCCATGAGTGTCAAAAAAGAAGAAGACCTTAATGCAGGCACCAGGCTTATGTGGGGAGGACATCCCATGACCGAGATGCCACCATGAAGAAGACTCCTACCTAATGGTCACCCATCTAAGGTCATTGGGTGAATAGCCCAGACAATGGACTCCAGTAAACATCTTAAAGACAGGCAGCTATATATGAGGGCAGGGGGAGAAGGTGATGCTTGACAAGCCGCCTGTTTTTTTGTTGCCTAGAACACACGGAGAGAAGCATATTGGTGTCCCAGCAGGCCTGCCACATAGGTATGAAAACATAACCTATAGTACCTCACTCAGGCAGGAATCTGATTCTGCCATTTAGCCCATCAATTGTGTAAACTGATTCTCTTTGCCTGAAATTTGAACAGCTCTTTAGATTTCTTCCCTGCATGCGACATGAAAATGCAGGAAATCTGAGTATTTATAATTTTATGATGATTTCTTTTTTTTAAAAAAAAAAATTCAATCTTTATGGCACAAGGTTTTGCCCTGATAATTACTAAATAGGTTGTTCCCCCTTTACTGAACTTGGCATATAAAAGGTGCTATAATTAAATGAGAAGATGAAACATAATGAACTGATTTTAGAGCTATGCTTTTTAAAAAAAATAATACACATTCTGCATATCTCGTCAATATTTACTAGCTGGAAGTAAATTAGCAAAATTAGATACTTCTTAGCTCTTTAGCAGAGCAGGGGGAAAAGATCAAATCAGCAGGCCCAATAGTCAATTATCTTAATGGATTCTGCTGTATAAAGTGGACCCATTGTTATTTAAGTTACAAAGTGACAAGCAATTACTTAATGAGCTCGTATATTACCCTTTTCCTTTCAACTTTGTAATTATTGAATTAATTGAGAACTGAACTCCTAGATAACCATGTCTTTTAATAGAGTAATTAAAGGAAAGTAAATGATAAGTTCTAGAAGCTGCCTTACTTTTCTTTGAAAATACAGCAGGAATTTGGCACTAAGAAGAATTCAGCTTCCTTTACTCACAAAAATAAAATTTCTGCTATCTGTATTTCCCAGGGCTGCCAGAATATGAACTATGGTATATGACAAACGTTGCCAGCCCTGATGTAAAATTGGTGCAAAATAAAATGTATGTATAAACAAATACATGCGTTCTTATTATCTAATTTAAGCATGACTTTGGCAAAGGTGGGCTAGAAATTTAATGAAGAAATAAAGAAGAGGTAAGGGCACACAATTCCTTTGGTTCAGAATAACAGAACATTAGAAAGGTATAAGGCATAGGAAGGTTCACCTGCATTCTGAGAAGGGTTTGAATTCTTCTCAGCTGAGCAGGTGATGCCCTGTTAGCACAAGCAGTGAAACAGAGATCTACAGCTTTTGTGAACAGAAATGTGCAGACTACCGTACTTTTCCGTGTATAAGACGCCCCCGTGCATAAGATGCCCCCTGTTTTGGGGGACTCCAGTTTAAGAATATGACCCAGAGTTGTGGAGCTTTTTATTGGGAAGCTGGCCCAAAGTTGTTGAGATTTTGGGGGGGGGGGTCGGATGCAGTAATTCAGTTGCAATCGCTCCCGCCGCTCGCTTACAATCACTTGCGTCAGCCCCATTGTATATCGGGGGGGCAGTGTGGAGAGAGTCTCCTCCTTTAAATTCCTGGGAGTTTACCTTAGTAAACTCACTTTGAAAATCAACATAACTCAGGTGGTCAGAAAGGCCCAACAGAGACTCCATTTCTTCAGGGTCTTGTGAAAGAATAATGTTAAACAACAACTGATGAACTCCTTCTACCGGTCCATAATAGAAAGTGACCTTTCATATTGTATCACAGTGTGGTATGCTAGCCTGACAGCCACAGACAGAAAGTCTCTACAGAGGGTGGTGAATACAGCACATGATATCATAGGCTGTCCCTTGAGTCCACTAGATGACATCGCAAGGGATCGTTGTCTTAGGAGAGCGAGAAAAATTCTCAGGGGTGACTCACACCCGGCCATCACCTCTTTAATCCTCTACCCTTGGGCAGGAGATATAGAAGTATAATCAGCCATACCAACAGGCTAAAAAATAGCTTCTATCCGTGGGCTGTTAGGCTGTTGAATGGAAAATAACATAGCACAATTGACTTGTGAGGTGGTGTGTTGTTCGATAAGAGATTGAGTGTTTGGGTGGGAGGGAGGGAGGCTCGTTTAATTTCATTGTACACAGGGTGTACAATGACAATAATGGTATTATTCTTATTAACAAGTGTCTGCCCGATCACAAACAGCGGCAGGAAATAGTAAGCAAAGTTGCCGCAGCAGCAGCCAACCCACAACAGCCCTTGATGCAGCAACCAATCACACACAAAATCGCCAGTGACAATCTGCAGCTTATGGCTGCAACCCGTCACCCATCACCCCTACCCACTACCTGTGTATAAGACGCCCCCAGTTTTTAAAGCTTATTTTTGAGTAAAAAACCCTCATCTTATACACGGAAAAGTACAATATATACATCGGGAGGATGTCCTCATACATTGAAAGAACCCCATAGGGTTGCATGGGCTAGTTCTGCATCTTACTGCTTGTGTGCATCATAGCATCACCTTCTGCAACCTGCCCATTCATCCAATGTATGAAAGGACTTTATGGAGGTGCTCTTGCCTAAATAGTGTCAGGAGCTCATCCTACACTCGAGTAGGACCCTGGCAGAGACACATGCCCGACTGGCATGTTCCCTCCCTTCTGGTCATTCGTTTGGGAGCTTCAAAAGCTTTCTTCTGCCTGAATATCACAGCAACTGATGCCAACAGACACCGGCACACTTAGGGATCCGCAGAGTCTTCACAGTTCGCGTGACAGACCTCAGCAACTCAGCATTTTGGCTAATCTACTTTATTTACATATAAACACACACAGAGCACCACAACATGGCTCTCTCTCTCTCTAGCATCAGACAGCAAAGAGAAAAGGGACAAAGGACAATAGTCCCACTTCACGGAACACAGTAACACAAACATCCTGTTTCCGTCACTCTGTGGAGTCAAAACATACACCGTCATGTGATAGACAAAAATCCCATGACTGCAGTCATGGAGCAGGAATTCTAACAAATAGCAATATGTTTCAATGTATTGTAAGGGGGTAAAAATGAGAACAGGCATTTCTGAGCTGTGATTGGTAGAGAACAGCACTTTCACAATACAGCCTAGTGAACATGCCTCAAGCCGGATCCTTCCTTTGATTGGGGCTCCCCATCTCTGCATACCTCGAGCCTGCTTTAGTCCAAATTTCTCACAGAATACTGGCAAGACTTTGGAATTAAACAAAATAAATGCATAGCACATTATGCACCCCTGGCTACTCACAGTAGGCAAGATTAACTTTTCCTGTAGCCCTAATGATTAGCATTCCAAATATGGCAACTGAATGATTATACCTGATGGGTATTTTTAAAAAAACTTAAGCATTTAATTAGATGCTAGGAAACTCAATTAGAGTGGCTTAGTTAGACAAACACTCTGGGTTCTATTTATATATTCGAAGAATAACTCAAGAAGTTTAATTCTTTTCTGGAATCATATATGATCCGGCCTAATCAAATCATAAGCATTATTACATAATTGTGCAAAATGGGTAAGGTCTCTAATTTTGGACAAGTCCCAATGTTTGCTTTTTCTAAAAAGTTAAAAAGGCAAGTTATTAATTGACAGGCGAGAATTTGTCTTAGAAACCTAGAATCTTTATTACTTTCATTTATGTTCCTTCCCCTGCCCCCGGAGGTATATGCTCTTCTGTCTATGTGTACTATATATGAGAACAGATGAGTGTGGGTCTTATGTGTGTATGTATATGAACACATTTGCGTGTTTGTGTATATGTGTGAGTGAGCAATTGAGAGAGAAAGTGTGGGTTAGCCTCACCAATATTTTTATTGGATCCACTCACTGTGGGCATGCAGGCTGCAGATTTATCATGTGGGAATGGAGACTCTAGGCTGAAAAAAGTCCAACCACTTCCTGCTCTCAGACCTCACAGAACCCCCATTGTATTTTATTGTATTTTTCACAGCTGTGGTGCTTCCCAGCTGAAACCCTTATGCCAGATCTAGTGAGTTCCAACAATTTTACTGCAGCTTGGCAGCGCTTTGACTTGGCCATTTACACGCTGGGGACGAACCAACTTGCCTCCTCCTATTCCATGTATTTTGGAATGTAACCACTTAGAGATTCATTTTGTAGCGGAGACCAGGAATCAGGCAATGGGTAGCAAAGCAAAAGGATTTACTCTTGTAGAAGAATGGTGTCTCATCATAGGGCAGACAATAGACTCCACGAACACGTCACACACACATGCCCTCCAACTGCCCCAATTTTGCTGGGACTGTCCCAAAAACGCTCTAGCCATCACGGCTTCTCATGCTATCCCAGAAAATTCCCCCAAATCCTAACAATACCCCAGAGCAGTCAAGAGGTTCCTTTCTTCAGGGTCATCTTTAGCATATGCAGTTGCTGTTGTTTAGTCATTTAGTCGTGTCCGACTCTTCGTGACCCCATGGACCAGAGCACGCCAGGCACTCCTGTCTTCCACTGCCTCCCACAGTTTGGTCAAACTCATGTTTGTAGCCTCGAGAACATTATCCAACCATCTTGTCCTCTGTCGTCCCCTTCTCCTTGTGCCCTCCATCTTTCCCAACATCAGGGTCTTTTCCAGGGAGTCTTCTCTTCTCCTGAGGTGGCCAAAGTATTGGAGCCTCAGCTTCAGGATCTGTCCTTCCAGTGAGCACTCAGGGCTGATTTCCTTCAGAATAGATAGGTTTGATCTTCTTGCAGTCCATGAGACTCTCAAGAGTCTCGTCCAGCACCATAATTCACTGCATATGCAGTGCCAGGGTGCAAAAAAACCCAAAAAAACTTTGGTCTGTCTGGGGGCACGCAACTCTCTCATACCGCTGCAGGTGGAGGGTGGAGGGAGGTGAGCAATCCCCACAGAGGCTTGGGAGGAAAGCTGCACACCTCATGTGAGCAGCGTGCATGCGTGCACTGGGCGGGCCTCTCGACAGCCTGCCAATCCCAAGCGCACAGGAGGCCAGAGCCTGCTTGTTGCCTCAGCACCCTCAGCAGAAAAGCCTGCAGCACTCTGACAGGCTCTGCTCCGCTGTCAGCTGGCCTGGCTCTTCAATCTCCAGACTCCAAATCTCAGCCCCAGACTCTTGGCCTGGCACCCCTGAGAGCCCGGCGCCCGGGTGCCCCACACCGCTAGAGCCTATGGGTAAGCTGGCCCTGAGGTTCCTGCTGCTCAGCTCCACAATGGTTAACAGCAGCAACAGAGCTGCCACTCCTAGAGTGGAAGGGAAGGCTGGTGAGAAAGGAGCTTCTGTTTCCCCCTCTGTGTTGTCCTGGATGTGCGCTTCGTTGGCACAGGCTTCCCTCCATTTCCCTGCCTGGTGGCTGCCATGGAACATGTGTGGTGCTGTGGAGTTCCTGAGGGAGGAAAGAGTGGGAGTTCAGGGAAATGGTGGCTGCGGTGGTGGTGGTGGTGGTGGTGGCAGAGGGTGGCAGTGGAGGATGCAGTCTTTGGAGGAGGAGGCCAGGGGCACCCTCAGCCTGAGCGAGAGGAAGCTGAGGGACTAACTATGGGGTTTCACCACCAGTCACAACCTCAGTGACACCATGCAGGCTGGTGAGCTGTGGAAGGAGAGGAGAGTTGGTTGCTTCCAACATTCCTTGGATGAAATGTCCCTATTTTCATCTGAGGAAAGTTGGAGGGTATGCACACATGCTTTTATAGTTTTCCACGAACAGCCTTATGCATACATTGTTGATTCTAATAAACCCCGTGTCACCCAGCTGCAAGCATCTCCACCCTAGCCTGTCCTACCTTTATGCAGTATGAATGAATGAATGAATGAATCAATCAATCGTTATTTCCGTCAACCATCGGCCATAGCAATAAAACAACAATACGCTATACAAAGAATAGAAATAAAAAGTCAATTATATAAAATACATTTTAGGGTTTTGAATCAATGGTCAAATAGAGGATCTTATTCTGAATGCCCCAGCTAAAAACCTTGCAACCATTGCTGTCACCTGCTCATCTTGACCTGCCAAGAGAAAGGACACTGTGGCAGTGGGTGGGCAACCGGGAGTGGACAATAAAAGAGGGGTGATAATCTCTTCCTCAAGTCTTTATAAAGAGTGCAAACCAGAAGGGCATGCGCCACCAATTCGATACTGGGACATAAGCGTTTTTCGTATGGAATCTGTTGGAATCGTCCCTCAAGTATAGCTGTAGGCAATACATTCAATCCTGTGAAAGTGTCCTTTATGCAGTAGTTATAAGCCAATCATAAACTTGGATAAGCAACCTTAAGCTATGCATATTGGAGACTTTATGCTCTGTCCTCACTAAGCCTTCCCTAACTTCATTTGTATAACTTGGGACTCAGCTACACTGGTCAACTATATCATTAAAATGTGTTATAAAAATGTGAAACCAGAGGGCTCTGTAGAGCAGCAATCTGTCCTCAATGTTAAATTGCATTGGGAGCTATGTTTTATAGTGTTTTTCATATCTGTGTAGATCCAGCCTTCCAGTTAGCATGGCCTACACTTTTTTTGCTGATCCTTGCCTCTCAAGTATTAACTTACCCAACACCTAGCTCAACCACAAGCTTGATTTTTTTCAGCTCGTAGTTCAAAAAGTTTCCTGTCGTCGTCTGGAACAAGGTGTTCAGATATGTAGCTATTAGCAGCTTACAAGCAAGGGTTACCATTTCCCAGAAACAGGCCCCAAATTTAGCCCAGGGCATCATTGTTTCTTACTTAGCTGTATTTCTTCGCTTTCTGCTTCTTCTCTCAGGCAGTGTGCCTCCATTTTTCAACACACGTCCCCTTTGAGGAAAACAAAACAAAACAGTTCCACTTCACTGGCATCCTTCAGGGACAACACAGCTTTGACTGAGCTGTGATTAGTGTGTAGGACTAGTGGGAAAAATATAGATGAAAGATAGTTGAAAATGGTAAAGCAATATGATAAGGCATAATGGCACATATATGACAACTTTACAAGCAAGGAGGAACTCTTGGGGAAAGGATATTTTTAAAGGATTCTTTGAGAAACTTCATAAATAACAAGCGGATTCTAAATCTATCCAAGCTGAGTTCACCCACTGCTAAATAAGAGGGGATATGCCTGGAGTGGTTTTTAGCTCCTGTAGGACTTGAGAAATTCTGGTCAAATGATTGAAATCAGAAAACAGCCTATGGAAGAGTTGTATGCATGTCTATTCGAGGTACAGCAAAAGTTAAAATTCTAATAACAAAACAAAAACATTAAAAACCTGCACATACCCTCAGGGCTGTTACTCTAAACGAATGAAAGTGTCAAGGATTTTGTAATAGGTTCCTCTCAAAAGCGCATTAGAACCTCAAATTCTTCCAGATCCTTGTATTGATACATCCATATGGCCAGCAGTTTTTCCGAAGTCTAATAAATGTAATAAGCAAGTAAAATAAGCAAGATTTGGTTATTCTTGCTTGGGGTGGCATTATGTTTTAAGGCCCCGCTCCCCAGTTTACTTGTTGAACAGGGAGGGCCCAAGACATTTTGCTGCCTGATGCAGGACAGTAAATGGTACCCTCCACTCCTCAAATCAAAGTTCATAGTAACCAAGGACTATAGTTCAGTGGTAGAACATCTCCTTTGCATGCAGAAGGTCCTAAGTTCAATTCCTGGCATCTACAACTAGGACAGGGAAAATTCCCTGTCTTAAACCCTGGAGAATTGCTGCCTGCCTATCATAGAGGGACCTATGATATAACTCAATATAAAGCTTATTCTTATGTTCCTGTGTAAGGCTGACAGTTATTTCTACACCTGAGACAGAAAAGGTGCCACCCCCTGGGAGTAAATATACAGTAATATTGAAGAACTGTCAATTGCTACCCTTCTATTACACCCAATATCAGCTGTCTAAGCCAGCTGCTTCACTCTGCCTATTGGTAGGGCTGGTCCTGTTAAACAATATAAAGTTACAGTCATACCTCGGGTTACAGACGCTTCAGGTTGCATTTTTTCGGGTTATGGACCGCCGAAACCTGGAAGTGCCGGAACGAGTTACTTCCAGGTCTTGGCAGTCACACATGCGCAGAAGTGCCTAATTGCAACCCGCACGTGCGCAGAAGTGCATCTCGCACAGATCACGTTCGCAACCTGAGCATCCACTGTATTTATCAATCTGTGAGTTCACTAAAACTTGTGGGGCTATAAATGCCTGAGGCAATGTTTGAAGCAGAAAAGTTGCCATTTTGATTGCAGACATTCTATCTATCCAATATATTATTATTAATAATAATAATGATTTTGTTGTTGTTTAGTCGTTTAGTCGTGTCTGACTCTTTGTGACCCCATGGACCAGAGCAAGCCAGGCACTTCTGTCTTCAATAATAATGATACCCCACCTTTTTACCTGACAAAGACTCATTCCATATCCCACCCATTCTTCTGAGTCTTGGACAGCAATCTCCTTTTCCCTGCCCAGGAATTATAATTACAGACAAGGGCAGCCTGTCCTGTTTTGCCACCTGAGGTGAAACAGGATGGTGTTACCCCTGCCACTGCCTTTGCCGCCCTCACCAACAAAGCCTCCTTCAGCGGTGTTGCATGGGAACAGCTTCCGGCGCAATTTTGTGGAGCTCTCGCGAGATCTTGCTGGAAGCCACTGCTGCACGACCTCGGTGGTAGGCATGCAGGGCACCTACATGGGCACTGCCCCACAGGATTTTACCACGCAAGATGGCTGCTTTGGTCCACCTCATAGGCAGCCCAGCCCTGGTTACACACCTAATGATGGAGATGCATGCGTGACAATTCCAAATGCCTTTCACTTTTTGTAAATGTGAATTTAGATTTAATAATCTCTTGCTGGCCCTCAATTGTTAAGGTAATATCAACTGCAAATCTGTTAGTTTGGCCCAATGCGAGAACTGTCTACCTACGAGCATCTACCCCCACACACCAAATTAATTTGTGTCACTGCGTTCTACAAGCATAAATGTCTTGCAGAGATACACATGTGCCTCAGATTGATGTCTTATCAGCTATCCCTAGATGGACCAAGATGACAGCAAGGGAAGAGAAAGAGAGGCAAGACTGGGGGACATCCGGTAGCATTTAACTGGTTGGTCCTGAGTGAAGGACGTGGGGACAGCTCCCTATGCTAGACAGGGAGATAATGCATTGCATTTTGACGTTGCTTATCTTTTAGAAATGTTAACAGCATGTAGGCTGCAGAACTCATCGAGCCACTTTGTCAAGGACGTGTGATATTTTTTACTGCACTGCAGAGCCAACTCAGTTGTGTTCTAACGAATTTAAAATTGATCATAATACTGCTTTCAGTGTTCTCCTGGAAAAAAATAATAAAGAGAATGGCACAGTTTGCTTAATTAGTTTGCAGTTATATTTTCTGAGGAGATATATAAAAAATGTGTTAAGAGTGTCTCTTGTTCTCATTGCAGTAGTTAAGGGTCTGTCTGGGCTTCTGTTATGAACTTGTAATTTTTGGGATTTGTAAGTTTTACTCTGCCATGAAAAACTGCCTCAAGCTGCAACTGGGCCTAACAAGGTCCCGAATATAGAATGCATATTTTACAGAGTGGGAAAATGGGGAGAGTGTTCTCAGATAGGCAGCAAGCGATGTCTGACAAAATTAGCACCTCACACTTCTTCTGTGGCTCTTGCAATCTCCAAGATCTACAGAGCAAGTGTGAGGTGGCAATTTTATCGTATCCCTCTTTTTAATCCAAGGATTCCAGGGCAGCATACACAGGTTAATTCTCTTCTGCAATGTATGTTTGGTTGAGAAATGGTGACGGGCTCAAGGTCCCTAAGAGTCTTTCTGCCTCAGGTCTCTGCGCTCCAAATCCAGCACTCTCTTCTAGGGCTGGCAAGAAGCAATTCATCTATTCAAATTTTGCAACGTTGAACCAGAAATTCAAGGAGTAATTGCTTCCATCAAATGATAGTTTGGGGGGGCATTTCTCTGTTTCTATTCTGGTGGACAAGGCATGCTCAGGACCCTAGCTAACAGGGCAGAGGAAGGTGAAGCCTAGGCAACCATAATGACTAGATATTATCAAACAATAGATTGCGCAACAACAAAGGGAGAGGTCACTTTGATTCTATTTGCATGAAAGAGTTAAAAAGGCAAGATTGCAGTGTGATTCAGCACAGGGTCCCTTACAAACAAGCGATTTGTATAGAATCATAGAATCATAGAATCATAGAATCATAGAGTTGGAAGAGACCACAAGGGCCATCGAGTCCAACCGCCTGCCAAGCAGGAAACACCATCAGAGCACTCCTGACATATGGTTGTCAAGCCTCTGCTTAAAGACCTCCAAAGAAGGAGACTCCACCACACTCCTTGGCAGCAAATTCCACTGTCGAACAGCTCTTACTGTCAGGAAGTTCTTCCTAATGTTTAGGTGGAATCTTCTTTCTTGTAGTTTGGATCCATTGCTCCGTGTCCGCTTCTCCCTGTTAAAATTCATCTTGTTTGTTTTTGCCCAGTTCTCTAATCTGTCAAGGTCGTTTTGAAGTGTGATCCTGTCCTCTGGGGTGTTAGCCACCCCTCCCAGTTTGGTGTCATCTGCAAATTTGATCAGGATGCCCTTGAGTCCATCATCCAAGTCGTTGATAAAGATGTTGAATAAGACCGGGCCCAAGACAGAACCCTGTGGCACCCCACTAGTCACTCTTCTCCAGGATGAAGAGGAACCATTGATGAGCACCCTTTCGGTTCGGTCAGTCAGCCAGTTACAAATCCAATGAGTGGTAGCATAGTCAAGACCGCATTTTACCAGCTTCTTTACAAGAATATCATGGGGCACCTTGTCAAATGCCTTGCTGAAATCAAGGTAGGCTACATCCACTGCGTTCCCTTCATCTACCAGGCTTGTAATTCTGTCAAAAAACGAGATCAGGTTAGTCTGACATGACTTCTTTTTCAGAAATCCATGCTGACTATTGGTGATCACAGCATTCCTTTCTAGGTGCTCACAGACTGTTTGCTTAATGATCTGCTCCAGAATCTTCCCTGGTATTGATGTCAGACTGACTGGGCGGTAATTATTTGGGTCCTCTCTTTTCCCTTTTTGAAAATAGGGACAACATTTGCCCTCCTCCAGTCTGCCGGGACTTCGCCTGTTCTCCAGGAATTCTCAAAGATGACTGCCAGTGGTTCTGAGATCACATCTGCCAGTTCTTTTAATACTCTTGGATGCAGTTCATCTGGCCCTGGAGACTTGAATGCATCTAAACTAGCCAAGTATTCTTGTACTATCTCCTTAGTTATTCTGGGCTGTGTTTCCTCTGCTGAATCATTTGCTCCAAATTCTTCAGGTTGGGCATTGTTTTCTTTATCGGAGAAGACTGAGGCAAAGAAGGCATTGAGGAGTTCAGCCCTTTCTGTGTCCCCTGTTTGCATTTTGCATGTAAGGATAACACTTGTTGATTTCGCCTCATATCTTTGATTCTTCAGGGGCTAGTGACTTTCTTTAAAGCAGGCACAGGCAAACTCGGCCCTTGAGATGTTTTGGGACTACAACTCCCATCATCCCTAGCTAACAGGACCAGTGGTCAGGGATGATGGGAATTGTAGTCCCAAAAACATCTGGAGAGCTGAGTTTGCCTATGCCTGCTTTAAAGAGAGAGAGTTGGACACATGAATTCTGGGGCATTTATTGGGTTCCAACTATCATGGCTAGAATCTGGGCTAAGTCCTGGCCAATTGCCCTCCGCACTGCCCCATATATTTTCATTCTGGCAGCCATTTTTAAGCTCAGTTTGTATAACCTAACAAAATAGTTTAACCAGTCTACAAGAGGAAAATACAACAAGCATTGCTTCTTGCAATTTGGGAGCTAGCCCTGTTCCGTTCATCAATTTTTTTGTAAATTGGAATACAGAAAAGCATCATCTGCTATATCAGGGCTGGATAACCTATGGCTTTCCAGAATCACAGAATGATAGAATTGGAATAGACTCCGTGGGTCATCTAGTCCAACCCCCTGCAATGCAGAAGTTGGACTACAACTCCCATAATCAATTATTGTCATGCTGACTGTGGATGATGGGAGCTGGAGTCTAGCCACATCTGGAGAGTCACAGGTTAGCCATCCCTACACAGAATAGTAATCAATATGTTTGAAGCAAGTTTTCAAGTTATATAGTGTCATTATTTTGGGGCTGGCAGATCTTTCTGAGTTGTGAACTAAAGATTACAGTGAAACTGTATCAGGATGTAATTTACTGGGAAATACTTTGAGAATTTTCTTTTTTTATTCCACCCAATTGCTGGAGAATTTGCCACTGTCCTCTAAAAGTATTACTGTACAAGAAATCCCTCTCTGTCTCTCCACCTGCAGATAGGATGGATAATTTTGGTAACCCCTTTTCACTCAGCCATCAGTTGGCAACCTCTCTGCCTTTTTAACAAACTGCAAACTTGTTCAGCATGTGTCTTTCTGAAGGTGGTACTGTAGTAACAGGCCATCAAAGCTTAATACTGACAAGTTGCTTCAAAATAGCTAGGTGACAAAGTATCTGTAATATTTCCTAGAAGTACTTCACAGAAACAGGTCATTTAAACAAACAGTCTTCAGCAGCTCTGTGGGTTTTTCTTTTTTGTTAACTAGGCTGGAACTGAGAATTAAAGGCTCTCTTGAGCTCACAGTTGGTGCAGGGGAGACTGCTAATTGGACAGGCAGAGGTGTGGAACAGAAGAAATATGTTGTTCCTTTGCACAACACTTCTTCAGAAAATGCACTTCAGGTAAATTATCAGGTGTTAGAGAAGCATTCGATATACACAAACACATTAGGTGCAAAATAGATTTCCTCTGTGTTCTTCTTGCTGAAAACAAAGAAACTTCTTTGCTTTCTCGTTGGAAATGCCCTTACTAAATTTCCCTTGTCTAAAACTATATCCTGTATCTTATTTCTTTTCTATGGCGAACATTTCCTTTCTTAAGGGCCCCTGTCCTTTCAGGGCAATTTGAGAAGCCCCTTTATTTTCTGCCTGGTAAGCAATGATGAGCCTAAACTGCTTCCTGCCAATTTGTCCACCAAGGCAGTGAATTTGGGAGAGGGCAATTTTGATGATTTTTTTTCTTTCCTGAGGCAGAATAATTATTAACTGAAACAGCAGTGGTGACAGCCTCCTCTCCCCCTTTCTTTCTTAAATGTAGATCTGATGCTGTCACAAGCCATCAATTGTGACTACTGCTAATTGCTACTATTATTTATATTTTTTCCTTTAATATAATTATACCCCCACCTTATTAGAAAACATGCAGGTTGCTTACAAATAATACTGTATAACAAAGAGCCATTAACATATTAAATAAATCAATCAACGCCAATAAATAGAATAAAAACAAGATAAAAATAACCCAACAAAACAGGAGTAAAAAAGGTAAAGGACCCCTGACAGTTAAGTCCAGTCGCAAACGACTCTGGGGTTGCGGCACTCATCTCGCTTTATTGGCCGAGGGAGCCGACGTTTGTCCGCAGACAGCTTCTGGGTCATGTGGCCAGTATGACTAAGCCGCTTCTGGTGAAACCAGAGCAGCGCACAGAAACGCTGTTTACCTTCCCGCCAGAGTGGTACCTATTTATTTACTTGCACTTTGACGTGCTTTCGAACTGCTAGGTTGGCAGGAGCTGGGACCAAGCAATGGGAGCTCACCCAGTCGCGGGAATTCGAACCTCTGGCCTTCTGATCGGCAAGCCCTAGGCTCTGTGGTTTAGACCACAGCGCCACCCGCGTCCAACAAGGGCACTAAATCCTACTACTCCAGGCATCATTTAATAAGTACATAGGGTTGTCAATGTTGGGATCTCCGCTCGGCCAAGATGATAAAGCTCATTTTCCTCCGGAATTGCCCCCGACGATAATTAACAACCTGAGCCTTTGATGAGGCCTCAGGCACATCCCTGATTCAGCAGAGAATCCAAAGCAGCACATGGAAGTGATGAGATTTATGGCTACATGCTATGCTTTATTACTAAGCAGAGAGCAAAGAAAAATATTTTTTTTATAAGATATTTATTAGGATTTTTAAAATATTACAAGAAAAAATGAAAAAGAAAAAAAAAACAAAATAAAAATGCTTAAAAACACTCAGATTTTCTATTACTTATTTTTCCTTAGCTTGTTTACTGGACCTCCTCATACCTCCCTTTTTGTATTCCAGTTCAGTTTGTTGGTTCAGCAAATCCTTACCCTCTTTATTTATCCTAATCTTTAGTCTTAAAATAGTAACTTTAAATTTTTATCTCTTAACAACCCATTTTTCACATTCCCTTAAAGCATTACAGCTGGAAACCACTTAATTTCTATCCTACATCGTTCTAACATTCATTAATTTTACAATATTTCTGTAGATAATCTTTGAACTTCTTCCAATCTTCTTCCACCGACTCTTCTCCCTGGTCTCGGATTCTGCCAGTCATTTCTGCCAATTCCATATAGTCCATCAGCTTCATCTGCCATTCTTCCAGAGTGGGTAAATCTTGTGTCTTCCAATACTTTGCGATGAGTATTCTTGCTGCTGTTGTGGCATACATAAAAAAAGTTCTATCCTTCTTTGGCACCAATTGGCCGACTATGCCCAGGAGAAAGGCCTCTGGTTTCTTCAGGAAGGTATATTTAAATACCTTTTTCAGTTCATTATATATCATTTCCCAGAAAGCCTTAATCCTTGGGCACGTCCACCAAAGGTGAAAGAATGTACCTTCAGTTTCTTTACATTTCCAACATTTGTTATCGGGCAAATGATAGATTTTTGCAAGCTTGACTGGGGTCATGTACCACCTGTATATCATTTTCATAATATTCTCTCTTAAGGCATTACATGCCGTAAACTTCATACCTGTGGTCCATAACTGTTCCCAGTCAGCCATCATTATGTTATGTCCAACATCTTGTGCCCATTTAATCATAGCAGATTTCACCGTTTCATCCTGAGTATTCCATTTCAACAGCAAGTTATACATCTTTGACAAAATCTTAGTTTTGGGTTCTAATAGTTCTGTTTCTAATTTTGATTTTTCCACCTGGAAACCAATTTTCTTATCCAAATTATATGCCTCCATTATCTGATAGTAATGAAGCCAGTCTCGCACTTTGTTTTTTAATTTCTCAAAACTCTGCAATTTCAATCTATCTCCATCTTGTTCCAAAATTTCCCAATATTTCGGCCATTTGGCCTCCATATTGAGCTTTTTCAGAGCTTTTGCTTCCATCGGTGACAGCCACCTTGGGGTTTTATTTTCCAATAAGTCCTTGTATCTTATCCAGACATTAAACAATGCTTTCCTGACAATGTGATTTTTAAATGCTTTATGTGCTTTGACCTTATCATACCACAGATATGCATGCCATCCAAATACATTGTTGAAGCCTTCTAAATCCAAAATGTCAGTGTTTTCAAGAAGCAACCATTCTTTCAACCAGCAAAAAGCTGCTGATTCATAGTAAAGTTTAAAGTCTGGCAGGGCAAATCCACCTCTTTCCTTTGCATCTGTTAATATTTTAAACTTTATTCTAGGCTTCTTGCCCTGCCAGACAAATTTAGAAATATCTCTCTGCCACCTCTTGAAACAGTCCATTTTGTCCACAATTTGCAATGTTTGAAACAAAAACAACATTCTAGGCAATACATTCATTTTTACCGCAGCGATACGGCCCAGCAGTGAAAGCTTCAAATTTGACCAAATTTCTAAATCTTTTTTCACTTCAGCCCAGCATTTTTCATAGTTGTCTTTAAATAGATTCCCATTTTTTGGTGTCATGTTAATCCCCAAGTATTTAACTTTCTTAACCACTGTTAAACCTGTCTCATTCTGAAACCTCTCTCTCTCCATTGGTGTTAAATTTTTCTCTAAAACCTTGGTCTTTAACTTATTCAGCTTAAATCCTGCAACTTGACCAAATTCTTGAATCAGTTCTAAAACTCTTTTGGTACTAGATTCTGGCTCCTGTAACGTCAATACTAAGTCATCTGCAAATGCTCTCAATTTGTACTGTTTGGCTCCGACCTGTATACCCTTCTAATCATATTCAGCAGAACCTCCAGGACCGATATAAAAAGCAATGGGGAAATTGGGCAACCTTGTCTTGTCCCTTTTTCTATGCTAAATTCTTCCGTCACCACATTATTTACAATTAGTTTAGCCTTTTGTTCTGAATAAATTGCACTTATACCGTTTTCAAACCCTTGGCCTACCCACATCCCCTGTAGGTTCTTCTGAGAGCAAAGAAAAATACATCCTCTCTCTGTGAGAGCAGAGAGCAACTGAACAAAGGAACAAAGGAACAGGAAACCAGTAACGTCACATCCCATCCGTCTCCTCTCCCGTGAGACTTCCAACAGCCTGGACTGTCTCTGGAATGTGTGGAATGTAAACAGAGTCTTGTGACTCCAAAGCACTGCTCAGTGGCAAACAGAAACTAACAGTCAACTGACCAGAAAGAAGAAGAAGAAGAAGAAGAAGAAGAAGAAGAAGAAGAAGAAGAAGAAGAAGAAGAAGAAGCCACCCATATGAAAGTTTGTGCTGTCATTTTGGAGTGCCTATTTATGAGCTTGCCTTGTTTCTTCTTTTTTCTCCTTACAGATTTGAGTGTCTGACAGGGCACAGAGAAGCTAGTGGAATTCTACTCTTGCTTGCTATAGTGTGCCAATCCTTTGAAAATGTGTCTCGGCTGCAATGCTACTTGTGCAGTTCTACATTCTAAAAACTTGTCTTCAGGGAATACCTGCCTTGAAACAGATTAATGCACAGCCAAAGAACAAAGCTACCCAATGAATAAATCATAAAAAAGATGGTTAATAGCTGGATAGCATCAGACTGCGCCTGTGATTTGAACAAATCACAAGGTTGTCAATTGCCACAGGTCCTCTTCTATTAAAAATTTAAGTGCCTACAACAGAAGCTAAAGATCAAGGGCACATTTGAAAGTGCTAAAAAGCTGTCCTTTGACCTATGCAGGCACTACGCTTCTGCCAACACAATTATGCTACTTCCATTGTTCAGCTCTGCAGAGGAGGCCTGTTCCTAGAATGAAGCAAGTGATAGAATGCCATTGCCTTCATTCATTCCCCACCGCCCTCATTCACTTTTCCTCCCACCTGTGCAGCATTTGCAAAATAAAAATAGTGTTTCATTTAGGTTATACATATTTCAAGGAGGGTGGGGAGCCAGAGAACATCTAGATGCAGAATTTATGCTGCATATGGAATGAAAATCCAAGATCATGAAAATCCAATCCAATCCAAATAACTTTATAGTGCTAGCCATTGGCCATGACAAATCAGAATCAAAAATAAAAACAAGCAAAAGGGATGCCACAGCACAAATAATAGCCCCTCTTTAGATTTCTGTGTCTCCCTTCCAGTTCGCTGCTATATTATCCATGGTATTCTTTCTGATCTTTTTGGCCGCCAAAGCAAAAAGGGTGACTTTATGAGTCACTGAAGCATTTACATTGCTAAGAAGCCATGGGACCTTCTCTGCTGGGGAGAGACATCTTTCCTGTACAGACAGTAGGGTGAGAAATTGCCTCCAGGATGGCATCTTACCCTTTCCACTGCAAACAGAAGTACAGTGGTACCTCGGGTTACGAACGCTTCAGGTTACGAACTCCGCAAACCTGGAAGTTGGTGCTCCAGGTTGTGAACTTTGTAATTACATTACAAATGTAATCTGCTTCCGTGGCCATGGGAGGCCTATGTAGGGAATGTGCGCCTCGGGTTAAGAACGCTTCGGGTTAAGAACGGACTTCTGGAAGGAATTAAGTTCATAACCCGAGGTACCACTGTCAGGGGCGTAGGAAGGAGGTGGGTCGCTCCAGGTGCCATGATGCAGGGGGGGGGGCAAATTATCAAGGAACAGTTACTGCCCTACTAGGGCGGTTCATAAAAACCTTTTTTTAAAAAAAATGCCTGCTCCTAAGGCCTTATCTTACTACACTAGGGATTATAAAGCTATATCTGAAATTTCAAGCATATCAGTTAATATATTGACCCTCCTCCATGAAAATAACTGTTTACTTGGCCGTTTTCATATGTAGTGAAGGCTGAAATTTCAATTCAGTGGAGCCAAAACACAATCCATCCTGTAGATTTAAGTATCTGTCCATAGTCGCCTACTTGTTATCAGAGGCCCAGAATCCACATTCCCTTGTAAGAAAATATGAAATAACGTAAAACCATTTTTTGCAGCCGCCTTCCCCCCAAAAAAATCAGTGGGGGGGGGGTTAACAAGAAATTTGCTGCACCAGGTACCACCTGACCTTCCTACGCCTCTGACCACTGCATATCGTTACATTTAACCATTTATAAAACACCACCCCGTTTTCAAAAATGAAAATGACAATTGTCACTCTGAACACAGTGAATCCATGGTACTGTTTATTTTATTTTATTTTATTTATTAGATTTGTACATCGCCCTTCATCTAGAGATAGTCTAAGGATCTGGAGCAGCAAGAAGTTGACAAGAAGGTGGAAGAGAACCTGATTAATCCTGCACATGGAAACCAAGGAGACTGAAATGAACTAGGAAACCATAAGAAGGATGGCAGTTTGGTAAACTATCAGCGATGTTCTTCGCCAGACTTCTCTGCACTAACACAATCCCTCCTCCTTCTCTGCTGCACTCTCCGATTTTGGGTCAGGTGCTCCTACCAAGGGATGTGCAAATCTAATAAATAAAATTGTCTCCCTAAGATATCATAGGCCCATCAAAGCTCTTTTAACTTCCCTTAGATATTTTGCCCAAGTAGGAAACTCCAAAATTTGCCTTAAATATCTATTTCAGGGAAATTTTGGTGGCTGCTCTTTCACTACATTTTGTATCATAACTCAGGATGTATGCGTGTGCATTTAATATGAGCACTCATGGAAGACGATGCCTTATGAGGAACGGCTAAGGGAGCTGGGCATGTTTAGCCTGGAGAAGAGGAGGTTAAGGGGTGATATGATAGCCATGTTCAAATATATAAAAGGATGTCACATAGAGGAGGGAGAAAGGTTGTTTTCTGCTGCTCCAGAGAAGCGGACATGGAGCAATGGATCCAAACTACAAGAAAGAAGATTCCACCTAAACATTAGGAAGAACTTCCTGACAGTAAGAGCTGTTCGACAGTGGAATTTGCTGCCAAGGAGTGTGGTGGAGTCTCCTTCTTTGGAGGTCTTTAAGCAGAGGCTTGACAACCATATGTCAGGAGTGCTCTGATGGTGTTTCCTGCTTGGCAGAGGGTTGGACTCGATGGCCCTTGTGGTCTCTTCCAACTCTATGATTCTATGATTCTAAGACTGATATTTATGTTGTTGAGATTCTCTTCTCCAGATTTCAAATGAAGTTGTAACAGTATCAGCAACAATAATAAATACTGAAGGGCGGGGGGCGAAGACAGCCAGGATGGGAGCAACAAAAATCAAGGCCAAATTCATGATTCTTCTTCATCTTTCTGGTCCTGCAAAAACCTTTATCCATCATATGGAGTATTTATTTTTTTCTGCTGTTCCTTATATGATTTTCATTCAAGGCTATTTCTCTCAGAATTCCTATCATTTGTGAACATATACTTTTTTAAAAAAAAGTAATAAAATATGAAGCAGGGTTAAGAAATTGGTTTTTTATATATATATAAAAATACTGGTGGCTGGAGAGCAATTTAATATTTCTCCCTAATAGTTATGAACGTTTTCCTTCTTCTTCAAAGACTTAATCAGCACTGTGAAGGACAAACTTATCTGGCTCAAGCACACTCCCTCCCAGCCTGAGGTCAGGGAACATGGTTCACAACAGTAAATAACTGTGTAAACTGCTTCCAACTAAACCTTGCAAAAGTGATCCAAACACGGCTTATGTAATCTGGAGAAATGGCAATTAGTTTTCATGATCATGCTCAAGGAATCAAGCTGGCAAGAAAATTAATTTATCAATAACATTTTGTGTGCACTAACTTTGTCCTGTAATATTTTGCCGCTACAGGTCAGAGGCTGAATTATTTGCTCAGCACAGGAGCGTGCGAGAAGATATGAAAAGAGCTTCCAAAACTCATAGACATTAGGGAACAAATGAAATCACTCTTGCTATGCACTGCAGACAGTTCTGTCTTGTTGGAAAGTGATATTGCATATTTGGGGTATTCACCCACAAAAGTAGATACATATTTTTTCGCAACTGTAGAATGTACTCAGCACAGGTGCACATACTATGTTTATTGTACCTTGTCAATATTGTTTTTCTTTTACAGTGGTACCTCAGATTGCATACGCTTCAGGTTACATATGCTTCAGGTTACAGACTCTGCTAACCCAGAAATAGTGTTTCAGGTTAAGAACTTTGCTTCAGGATGAGAACAGAAACCGTGCTCCGGTGGCGCGGCAGCAGCAGGAGGCCCCATTAGCTAAAGTGGTGCTTCAGGTTAAGAACAGTTTCAGGTTAAGTACGGACCTCCGGAACGAATTAAGTACTTAACCTGAGGTGCCACTGTATAGGGTTACTTAAACTGAAAAATACAATACATACACACACACACACACACACAGAGAGAGAGAGAGAGAGAGAGAGAGAGAGAGTCATGCTAGTTTATGTATTTTCATCATCCTTCCATAAATAAATAAAATTCCGTATACAATTTCTGTATTTGATGATGAAGTGCCATTCAAACGTTGCATCCTTCCTACAGATCTTTCATGATGTGTGCCTTTTAAAAATGACACAGTATTACAGACCACAAGTTCTTTTTAAACTCTGATGTTTAATCCCTTCGGGGAAAGGTAATCTGAGCTGCAGATATGGTGGAAAGGTTTGCCTTCCTTTTAGCTTTCTTCCAGTTTGCTTCCTTTAAAGTGAAGTGGGGGAGATGATCCACAGCATAATGACATTATTTTACTGAAGTTTTTTCTCCCTCCCTTTGTGGGAATGTTCAGGGAGGCAGGAGAGGATATATTGTTTACTTATATCCTTCCCAGCTTGTGTTAACAAGTTCTACAATTTATCAGAGTAACATTCCCCTTATAAACTTACACAGCGGATAATGTTTTGCCAGGCTTGTTTAAGCCTCTAAAATAAGTTTCCTGGTAATTCCCCTTTTATTCTCTCTTAAAAAGAATAGCCACGACACAGTCTTGTATAAAAGTAAATAAAATAGTTTACTCACATTCTGTTCACAGAAGGATCCCAGAAGGTCCCTTAAGTTACAAAATACATACGCGTGGAATCTATCCCATAAGGAGATACTGTAGTTCCTTTGTCCTCTCTTGGCTTGAAGCCAAGAGAGCATCTCAGGCTAAGGAGATGTTGCTTCTTCGAGGAATGGAGTCAGAGAGAGAGATGGCTGCCTGTCCTGTGCTATTTTGTTACCTGCACAGGTAGGGTCATGCCCATCTCTGGTCACATGTAGAGGAAGTTTGTCCCAGCCCAGGAGGAAACAGGAAGTTCCAACTGACTGGTCCAGACATCCCCTTTTTATGCCCACTCTAGGAATGTTGTATTTGACTGCTTTGTGTTTCACACCCCACACTCTTTTGGCTGTCTTTTTGTCTGTTTTAAACCTGGGGCGGGGAAGTGACTTTGGCTAGTGAGTCAGATCCCTTCCACCCTGACCCCTGAGCCAGCTTTGACAAGTAGGTGCTCACTCTCAAGGCCGATCAGCTGATTGGCACTGAGAATGAGCTTCTTTGGAGGCATGTTGTCAGCAGTTGTTTCTGACAATGTGCCTTTCAAAGAGCACTTTTGAAGTCCGTTTGCAGGTGTGGTTGGCATTCAGACTACACCTGCAAATGGAGAGGAAGACTGAGCAGTTGCAGGTGCAGTTTTGATTCATGCCACTGTTGGAGGGATTACAGAAACTTGGGTCCAGATTGTTGCACATTGCCTCTCCTTATCCAAAGGAGCCACCCCTTATTTTAGGCTTAAATACTCTTTCCTTCTCCGTTGTTGGTTCTTTTCACCTCCACTGCCATATTCTGCTGAAAGGAAGCTTGCTGATCTGGCAAACTCAGACCTTTTCCTCCATTGCTGTCTCTTGTGGCAGAAGAGGGGTGATTCCCTTCATGTGCTTAGACCTGACCAGTTTTAACAGTTCCAAAATTGGGCAAAACAGCCCTGTTGTGGATCCTGGTACCGATTTGGGAATCTGCAAGCTGAGATGTTGGATTAGACTGTTCTGAGAAATGTAAGAACGTCATTGGCCTGTCATTTTGGAACAGGTTCTCCTGCTGTCTCACGTGGGTGTTGTACTAAATCGAGCACCTGTCTTGCAGACATGCACATCTGCTAAGTGTGTTGTTGCTCATCCATTTTCAGAAATTAACCATCTGTTTTACATCAGGTGTCATACACAGGGCGGAGAGGCATTAAGGAGGCTGCCAACATCACAATGGCGTTCCTAGTCCTCCCAGGTCCTCATTTTTTATGTTGTCATATTTTTTTTAATATGTATAAAAAAGAAAAGCCCTTGTCTCTTGATGAGAGAGCCATAAAACTGCATTATTATTCAACTACTGGCAGCCGTTTTACAGGTTATGTACTGTACTTCACCTACCATATGCTGCAAATGGTGCAAACATGTTGCTCAAACAAGTGTGCATGCCTTGGCAACATAAGGAATACTGAAGCTTCATTGTGTGGCAGCACCTCTCTCTTTCCATGCGCAGCTGTACCCTTGGATAGATGATGGCTCGGTCTGCAGCTCTGGCTGTGTTTCAGGGAGGTGTTTGCTGAAACATTCAGAGGAATACAGAGGATCTCTTTCTCCGGGTTCCGATGAAATATCTGCATGAATTTCGAGGAAGTGAAAACCGCTTTGATACGAGTACAGACATTTTCCGAGGCATTTTGAAAATCTCTATGAAGATCAGTGCTAAGGCTGAACTCAACTTGCCGTTTTCACCAAAGCCTTCTCCACTCTGCATAACAGAAGTTCTTTTTTTCTCTGCCTCTTTCCCAGGGAGCAAGAGCACTTTGTGCAGAATCAGGTGTCCTGGGATGGGGGCTGCGTTTTACTTGAGTTAAGTTAAGGGGGTGGCCAAGAGGTCTCCTTTTTAAACCTTTTCTTTAAAGCCTTGCACTTGCTGACAGCAGCATGGCGCTCTTTGTGGTGCCTGGTGACATGTTCCTTCAAAGAAGTGCTGCCAGGCTCGAAGGCTTTGTGGATAGCGGCTGCTGCACTATCTGAAGTTTTAAGAACAGAGCAAATACTCTTAAAACTAGATAACCCCACAGTCACTTGCAGAGATACGGGGCTCTTTGTGCAAAGGCAGCAAGCCTGGAAGCACTTCCTTAAATGATCATAAAAATATAAAGATAGGCTGCCGGATCTGCCCAGTGGACACTGGAAACTGCAGAAGGGGAGAATGCTGTTGTGCTCATGTCCTGCTTATGGGTTTTCTGTGGGCTGCTGTGAGAATGGGATGCTGGACAAGATGGGCTATTGCCCTCAGCCTCATATTGCTCTTCCTATGCTTACCAAAAATGGAGTAAATCCCAGAGGGATGCAGGAATTGACACAGTTAGGCAGTGCAGCACCTTTCCCTGTTCAAACTGCATATGTCATATTCAAACCTGTCAACTTTGACACAACTTTGACTTGGTGGCAAAGCATCCTGTATCCTATACTTAATGGCTCCACAGCAGAAATATACATATTTCTAAGGAAATCTTATTTCAAAATACAATCATTAATATAAATGTAAACATGATGAATGAGCTCGCCCCAGGTATTCAATTTGCGCCCAGGTCCATGCTTCCATTTTAGATAGCAGGGTAAACAAACCCAGAGCATGAAAAATAAGATTTTAATAACTTATTGATTACTGTTGTGATTTGCTATTTTGCTTCTGCATTCTGACTTATAGGTGCCCTGCAAATGTACAGGGCTATTGAGATATACCCCACAGAGGCAAAAAAACAAACACTTATTCCGGAAAGAGAATAGTGAAAACCTGTCAGGCCAAGGCTCCATTGGCTTGCTTGGTATTAAAACGAGGACATTATTCATGGAGGTGACTTGATGAATAATCTTTATTGAGTTTTGATGGTGGACTAAAGTTTCATAAAGTACTGGTGTAGATTTAGAAATGAGATTGTCTCCCATCTGATTAAATCCAATCTGATTTATGTGGGGACCCAATCCTGGAAATTGCAGCGCGCCCATTATTTGGGAAGTTATTTGATTGATCCTCTTTTTAATTTATTTCAAAAAGGTGTGCTGATTTATTCACTGGAAGCATATACCTAATACCTTGAAGTGTCTTTGGTTTTCCCTCTGACTTGAGAGCACGTGCAATCATTTGTCATACTGATGGCTTCCCAATCCTTTACCCTGAAAGGAATAAAGGAGAAAGCGACTGAATTTTTTAAAAATGCTTTGCTGAGTAGGCAGCAAACAATATGATGATTGGTCAGCATATAAAGTAAGGGGTAAGAAGAAGATGGCGGTCATGCAGCAGATAGTGGCAGGCCATCAGAACCAGTAGGCATTAACTTAACTCAAAGGTTAGCAACATTTTTAAAGTCCGTGGATGCATTTTCGCTGTATCTCAGTGCTACCTGTCAGCTTGCATTTCGTAGTGCAGAAGGTGTTGATCAGATGTGTGGAGATCTTTCCTATTCTACTTAATTCAAGAGGGTTCAGGAAACTTCTCTGTGTGAAAGAAAGAAGCAGAAGGTTCATGATGTCTGGGTTATTCCTTCAGAGAAGCTGAATACAGCTGGTTTTAACTGGTTCTGTTATCTCTTCTGTCAAGGTCATGCTGACTATAAAAGTAAGACCAGAAGGAGCCTGGGTTTCATTTTCTCTTTCTCTCTCTTTTCCTGCGGGTGTGGTGTTCTGTACATAGTATACAGTGGTACCTCTGGTTACGTACTTAATTCGTTCTGGAGGTCTGTTCTTAACCTGAAACTGTTCTTAAACTGAAGCACCACTTTAGCAAATGGGGCCTCCTGCTGCCGCTGCGCCGCTGCAAGATTTCTGTTCTCATCCTGAAGCAAAGTTCTTAACCCGAGGTACTGTTTCTGGGTTAGTGGAGTCTGTAACCTGAAGCGTCTGTAACCTGAAGCGTATGTAACCCGAGATACCACTGTACTTAGTGTTAAGGTTTAGACTTATTATAAGTTTAAATTCAGTCTGCTGTGACTGTATTTCTTATGGACAGTGCCAGTCCTGAATGTATTGGATTTGTGACCATTATGCTCATTTGTCTTCAGTAGCAGTAAAGCTCTGCTGGATGAAATGTTAATTGCCTCTGGTATATT